CCATTAGTTTCATTTCGTTTATGGGACTTTTAAATTTTTACATAATTTCAACCTTATAGAGAAATTGTGAAGCAGTATAAAGAAGTTATATGCCCTGTACTCAAATTCGGTAATTGCTAGCATTTCCCCCAAATATACAATTCTACTATGTATGCACACAATCTATAACTGTCTCTGTATTTATGTTAATAACCATGGGTTTATACTTACAATCTGCCACTAAAGAGGTAATTCTAGTCTCCCATTCCATATTTGTAATTTCCTTCTCTAATCTGATAATCTAATTTAATCATTCTCTTCAATATATTTAGTCATTTGCTCATCTCCACTATACAAAAAATAGTGTCAGAATTGCTAACCCATACCACTGTGAAAAGCCAAACTGCTAATAGAGTTTAGTATTTGTTTCCAGTTCTCTCTGTCTTTAGATTGAGGGCATATACTTAAAATACTCTGCTCACAGATATATTCATATGTCAAAAATCATCATATTGTACACTTTAAATATCTGTAGTTTAAGTCAATGTCAATAAAGCCATACAAAATAACTGGGTTCAAAAGTTTCTAAGGTTCATTCCCCAGGGAAACTTTTCAGAGAAGTTCTGTTACTTAAGATACAGTGAGGTTCATTTGCTTCCGTTTGTTTTCTATTTCAGGGTTCAACTTCCCTCTTTGTTAATTTCATTTCATTTTTTTGAATATGTAAAGCATTAACATGGTTCCAAAAGTCAAAACTATCCGGAAAGTTATATATGGAGAAGTGCCTGATTCCAGCCTGTTCTCTGTAGGTAGCCAATCTTACTGGTTTCTGGTTTATCCAAGTTACAAAATAAGTAAGTTTATCCAAGGAAAATTTGGAGTACAAAAATAAAGCCAGGGAAGATGTTCCTTTATCCTTCCTGGTTTTTTTAAATATATAAATAGGTGAAGAGGATTAAGAGGCACATTCTTCCAGTTACAAAATAAGTAACTCACAGGGATGTAAAGTACAGCATAGGAATACAGTCAATAATACTGTAAGAATTTATAAGTGACTACACTTACGGTGGTGAGCATTTTGCAATGTACACAGATGTCGAAACTATGTTGTGCACCTGAAACTAACATAATATTGTGTGTCAACTATACTTCAGCTAAAAAGAAATTTGGAAAAACTCTTTAAGCAAAATGAATTACAATGTGTCGTGGAATGTATAACATCTGTGAAAGCAAAATGTATGACAACAGCACAAATGCTGGGAGGGGAGCTGTGCAAATACACTATGGCAAAAAAAAAAAACCCCAGATGTATGTACATTTTTCTTATTTCTCCTTCTTTCATCTGTATATACTCATGTAGTACACTTTCCTTTTTTTTTTTCACGTAACAGTATATCCTTAAAGTTATCCCTTATCAAGTTCATATCATTTTTTTTTTCTTCTTTTTTTGGGGCAGCCATATAGTACCCCATGCCTTCCTGTAGGACTTGTATGGTTTCATGCTTTACATTTAGATTTCTCATGTATCTGCACTTTATTCTTGTGATGAGATAAAGTATGGATCTCATTTTATCTTTTTCCAGATGGCTACTCAGTTGTCTTATTTACTGAAACGTTGATTTTTTTGCTCCACGGGTATGAGCTGTGCTGCTACATCTCTGATGCATCCTGGGGCCCCATTCTGGACTATCTAGTCTGTTCCACTTGTCAGTATATCCATGTGCCACAACCTCATTGTTTTACTTATGGAGGCTTCACAGAATAGTTTTATATGAGAGATGGGCTTCTTATTGTAACTTTTCTTTTTCTGTGTTTCTAGCTCTTCTTTCATGTTTCTTTTTCCATGAGAACTCAAGCTGAACTTTTGTATCAGCTTGTCTAATTTATAAATTTATAATTTAACCAGGGTGCTTTCCCATTTGATCAAGTGAACCTTGATCTTCTGTGGCTTTTGTGTAGGAGTGTTTTCCAGTTTCCCTCCTACAGGTTTTGCACATTTGGTGTTAGATTTATACCTAATTATCTGATTTTCTTTGTTACTATTAAAATGGCATTCTCTCTGCCATCGTGTCTTCTGTCTGGTTATTGTTTGTGTATATTAAAAACCATTGACTTCTGTCTGTTCATTTTACAGCCGGCTACCTTGCTGAAATATTTTATGATTTAGCCTAATCCAATAGTTTGAGTTAGTCTTGCCATTGATTCTCTAGGGTTGTCCAGGTATACCCTCATCTCAAGGGAGTTGTACTTATTTTCTAACTTTTTTTTTCTCTTTTTAAATTCTGAAGCCTCTTGTGAGTTCTACTGTCTCATTGCATTAGCTCATATTTTCAGTGTAATGTTAAATAATCACGGATAGAGTGGGCATCCTTGCCTTGCTCTCTGCCACTGTCTCTTGAATGACTATATACAGTTGAACCTTGAACAACACAGGTCTGAACTGCATAGGTCTGCTTATACATGTGTTTTTTTCAATAAATCCAGTATAGAAGTATAAATGTATTTTCCCTTATGATTTTAAGATTTTATTTATTTGAGAGAGTAAGAGAGAGCACAAGATGGGGGAGTGTCAGAAGGAGAAGCAGATTCCCTGCTGAGTGGGGAGGCCCACGTGGGACTCGATCCGAGGACTCCAGGACCATGCCATAAGCCGAAGGCAGACGCTTAACTGACTGAGCTACCCAGGCACCCCACTTATGATTTTCTTAGTAACATTTTCTTTAGCTTTATTATAAGAATACAGTCTATAATACATATACAAAATATGTGTTAATTGACTGTTTATGTTATCAGTAAAGCTTCAGCTCCGCAGCGGGCTACTAGTTAAGTTTCTGGGGAGTCAAAAGTTATATGTGGATTTTTGACTGTGTCCGATGTCGGTGCTCCTAACCACCTCGATGTTCAAGGGTCAACTGTGTATAAAAAATGCCTTAAAGGCCAGAAATAGCTCTTCAGTGTAAGAAGCTTCTGGATATTTATCTGGCAAGATGAAATTAAGGCTCTTCTTATGCTTAGTAACTAGAAAAAGAATTTAGCAAATGGTGGAAGTAAAAATTTGATTTTGTAACAGTTCATTGAAAACACTTGTGCTGGGCCCCAGTGTTATCTTTTATATTTAAAGACCTCTTTGATTATACTTTGCTCTTCATTCATTCATTCATCTAAGATTTACAGAATGCCTCTAATACTCCACTCTCTTAGATTCTTTCTCATTTAATTTGTACTGTACCCATGTGAAGTTGGTATTATCCTCATTTTATATGGAGAAAATTGAGGTTAAGAGTTAAGTGGACACACAGCCTCTAAGGCTGAACTCTGATTTTGAATCTGCATCTCCTGGTTCGAATCTAAACTCTCATATATTTCTTTGCCAGGGAGTGGAAACACAGAAGAGTAACAATCAGTATATTTTTAGAAAGCAACGGTCTTAAATTCTCTTTCTTTCATTAAAGGTCACAATGTTATATTCAGTCACATCGTTGTGGGCAGGCTTCTTTAAGTAGAACCTGAGCGTATTAATGGGAGTGTATTTGTTCTTCTCAGTTATGAAGGACTTCAGAGAAATGTTCCTTATGGTATCAGGGATCCAAACGACAAGAAGCTTTGCAGATGGTGATAAGTATATCAAAGTATCCAGGACCTAGAAAAGCACCTGACATAGGGAAAGCACTCAAATAACAATAATTACAAGTTTATTAGTGTTCATTCTGTTCTGCATTCTTTACTTGTATTAACTGGTTTCATCCTCACAACAACCCTAAGGGCATTTCTATTATTGCTTGTATTTTATAGGTGAGAAAACTGATGCATGTGCTAATTAATTTACCAAAGATCATATTCAATAAAAAAGCTGGAATTCAGTCTTCAGATCCCCTGCTCTTAACCACTACACTATAAATCTTTCAAATAAATGAAGTTCTGCGATCATGAAAACGAGCATATTCTACCTCCTGAATATGAATCTACCGGCATTACTTACCAAGTACATTTTTCTGTTACTTAATGTGTAGGGGAATTTTGCAATCGATTAAGTAAATGAAAAGGCTCTTGTACTTAAGGTAGAGGAAAGGCACCTGAATACCTGAAATTCTTTATGTCAGGTGCTGTGTTAAATCTAAGTGTGTTTTGGTATTTCAGTATATCGGACTTCTTGCAAAACCGCAAAGCCCAACGCAGCTCAAAATGCAAACGCAGCTTCTACGGGCCCCCGTCCTGAGCATATAACCTGCACGTGCACACCCACAGAAGGTATGTCACAGGACTGACAGTATACAGCAGGCAATTATAAACAGTGGGCCGTGCAAGGGCCATGGAGGTCATCCAGTCCAACCACCAGTTTCGTGTCGAATCCTGAGGAAGTAACACAGTCACACAAATCGGACATCTGGGCTCTTTCTCGCTGGCGCGCTTTTCATTACATAATACCTTTGCTTGCCTTTCCTCTCTTTTCCTGCCTGTTTTGTGCAGAAGTAAACGGGCCTGGCTTCTCGCGCTTGGGACCAAAAACCCATAAAGCAGAAAGGCAGTCGGAGCCCTTGCAGGGATCCGGCTCACCCGAGACGCCACAGCCCGCCCTAGGTCAGAGCGCGCCCCGGGTCCGCCCTCCGGGGTCGGTGCGCAGACACGGCCGCATTTCGCAACCCTCCGCGCCGCCTGTCGGAAATCCACCAGCCGAATGACCCCGCTCCCCACCCAACTCGGCGGTCCGTTTCTGTTAACAGGGTGCGGCCGAGGCGCTGGGCCAGCGGACGACTAGAGCCGTGGGCCGGCAGCTCGCGGGGCCAGCTGTGACGCCAGGGCCCCCACGCGGCGGCCAACGCGACCACCGCACGGCGCCGGCCTCACCCCCCCAGCTGACGCAGCGCACACCTCTCCGCGTTCGCGGCGCGCCGGGGGGCGGGGCCGCCCGCGGAGCGGACTCCCAGCGCCGTCCTCATTGGGCCAGGGAATGAGTGACGCGCCAGTCCCCGCCCCCTCGGCGCCCGCCTCGCCGCCCGCCTCGCCGCCCGCGCGCGGGGCGCTGACGTGGCCGGGCGGGCGGTGGCGGCTCCTCCCGGCGCGGCTGGCCGCCCTTGGCTGCGAGGGAGGGGCGGGGTGGCCGGGGCCGTGCTCCCCGGGCCAGCTCGCGGCCCGCCCCGCCGCCCCGGCCCCCCGGATGAGGGTATATATTCGGAGCGGGCGCGGGACGCCGAGGAGTGGCCGCGCGCTGGGAGCCGGAGCCGGGCGGAGTCGCCGTTGCGCCGAGGGAGGTGAGGGGCTCTCCGGCCAGTCGTGTCTCGTTCCCCCGTCCCCCGCCAGCCCGGAGGGACTCCGGGGCCCGGTCCCGCCACGCGCACGCCCCCACGGCCACGTCGGTGCTTGGCGCCCGAGCCTGGCCCTGGCCGAGGAACCGCCCCGCGCGCCCGCAGGCGCTTGCCGAGCTCGGAGACCCCCGCTGGGGAGTGCGCCCCAGCCGGGGCTTTGGGGAGGACCCGGACGGGGCAGTGTGTGGAGTGGGGCTCTGTCGACCGGCTGGGGGCAGGGGCCCTGCGGACGGTTTGGGCAAGCTCGGGGGCCTCCGGTGGGGACAAGTGATCGTTTGACGTGTCCGCTGGGAACGGGGTGGGCCGCCTGGCACAGAAGAGGGAGAGAATTCCGAGGGCGTCGGCAGGGAAGAGTGGACATACCCTCGGGGGACGTGAGAAGGGGACAAAGCCCGCTTGCCCCTTTTTGTTCGTTTGGTTGGTTTTAACACTGGTGGTGGGAGAGGGTTGAGATTGCGGGGTTTCCCCTGCCTTGGCCACGCAGGAGGATGGGATCGGAGGGCTGAGAAAGCACGCATGTGCTGAACATATGGCTTCCTGAAGAGTGTATGAAGTTTGGCCTGACGCTGTCCTGTGTTTATTTGTGCACGGTTTATGAATTCTGAAATGAGGCAGTAGTGATTATGGTAATATGAAGATGTCATTATGTAGTGCTTTTAGTTTAAGGACTTTTAAGGTGAGATTCTGTAGGTGTGGACCGAAGGGTTTACAGGAAGCTGAAGGCAGCTTCTATTCCCTCATTATTAGTGAGTTGGCTCCCTTAGCTGGGATTGAGAAAGACTTCATGGTCTGTGCTGCCAAGCATTTATAGGATTCAGTGGTTATGGCTCAACTCCAAGACTATTTTTCAAAAGTTCTAAGAAGTTTACTTATCAGTTTTGGGGGCATAATATAGCAGCAGAGATAGGGGCAGGAGGGAGACCGGGAAAGGAGGGGAAATCCTGGATTTCTTTAATACTGGCATTTAAATTTTAATAAAGGTATATTTGATCATGGTGGATTTTTACCAAATTTGTCATTGTTTTTGATGCAGATGTATTAGGTATGGGCATATACCAAATTCTGCCATCATTTTTTGAGCAGATCCTTGGCTTTTTCAGACTTTGCTTGTCAAAGTAAAAATCCTACTCTAACTCTTGTATTCACTATTGCTTACCATTACACATTACATCCAGACCTCTTACCAGAATTAATTTAGCACATGTGACCTTGTCAACCTTTGCAGACCACCAGTGGTCCAAGGCCAGGTATCAAAGTTTAACCTGTGTGGGGAAAAATTTAACCTGAGTTGTCTTATTTGTATGGATCCATTTTCCCAAGCATCTGAAGGTGAATGGGTATTTAATGACTTCTTAGGAAAAGATTGATTTATATCTTAAAATGTTATAATACTATGTTGGCATATGTTTTAGTAGGCAGGGACTCTCCACTCTTGACTCTCATTTGAGGGTGTGTGAGGAAGGCTGGTTTTATCGTCTTTATGAGGAAATGTGTACACAGGGAGGTGGAATGATTTGCATAGGGTCAGTTGATAGGGAGGGACCAAGAACTAGGACTTCCAATTCTTCAGTTACCTGGTTGCCAGATGATCTTCCTGCTATAGTATGCTTCCTTAAATCTGGGCAAAAACAGTAGTATAGATGAGACCTTAGGAAAGACCCAATTCCTTGGACAATAGTTTAATAGAAAACTCTCTCTCTCAACTTTTTTTTTGTTTTTTACGTGATGTATTTTTTTAATTAAAAAACAATGGTATCATATCTCTTGAAATCTATATAAATCAATAGAAATGCCTTTTAATATCCTAATGCATGTCCAAGGCTCAGTCTTCTAACTTCTTTGCTTTTTTATCCCCATCTACACTTGCCAGGGGATCTTATTAAGTTCATAATTAATATCACGTATGCTGATGACCTTAAGTTTTATCTTTAGCTCCAGTATCACCTTCGAACTTTAGACTACCACATTCTGCTGTCTTACCAGCATTTGTTTGTATGTCTAATAGGCACCTCCAACTTAACATGTCCGTGCATATTTCTAAATCTCCTCCTGTCCTAATGTTTCCCCACTTCAGTAAATGGCACCACCAGTTGGAGTCCTCTTTGCTTGATTCCTGTCTTTCTCTCTGTCTCCACATTCCACCCATGACCTAATCCTGTAGGATTAGGACCCACATCCACCACTGCTCTAAGCCAGCATCATCTCATGGAGACTACCGCAGTACTTCCCTGACTGCCGTCTGCTGGCTTCCACTTTTCCCTTCATTACAGAATATTTTTCCACACAACAACGAATGATCCTTCTGAAATCTAAATCAGACCATGAAGCTCCCCTGCTCCAAATTCTCCAGTGGCTTCCCAAACCCCGGAGTTCTTACTTTGACCAAAAGGCCCTACTTGATCTGCTCAGTGTCCGCCTCAATTAGAGTCCCTCAGGCTCAGTCACTCTGCTCCAGTTGCGTTGACCTTGCACATTCCTGTGTCAGAACTGCTGTCCTGTCCCTAGAATGTTCCTCTCTAAGATACTGACTTGCTCTCTCTTCATTTGGATGGGTTGTCAGATGTCTCAGAGGCTCCACCTAACCACCCCATTTAAAATATCCACTGTCCCCCTCTCGTTGCGCTTTCACCGCTTAGCCCACTTTCTCCTACTTGACATTTTATGTTTGCCTGTCTCTCACACTGGAATGTGGGCATGCGCATTGTCGCTTTGTGCATTGCTGTGTCTTTGTACCCTACATCAGCGCCTGGCAGACAGTAAGTGCTCATTAAATATTGAGTGAATTAATGGCACATGAAAGTTAAATAATGTTCCTTCATAATTTGTTTGTTGACGTACCTCTGCGTGTGAAAAGGAAACTGAGCAGGAACCTGTTGGCATGAGTGAGGTTGTGGGCTCACCATCTGTCTTTGAACAGGAGTAGCAGCACTGAAGCACATGCAGCCTCATCTGTGGCCACTTGCCGCCCATCTTCCAGCACGATGCCTCGTGCCTTGAGTATATTTCTTTACCTAAACCGCTTTTCCTGCCGTTGCCACGGACTGGGTTTTCTTTCACTTGTTGTACCTTTCTCACACTTCTCTTCATCCTCCACTGCCTAACTCAGCCAGTAGCTCTCCTCCTGTTCCGGAGGCTGTAGCTCATTGTTCTGAAGCACAAGTTTCATTTTTATAATAGTAGCTGATAACTTTTATAGAGGGCTTTTTATGTGTCCAGTACTGTTTTAAATGCTTTTCATTTGAATTCAGTAATTCTCTTAACCTTAGAGGTAAGTACTGTTTTTATCCTCATTTTACAGAAGAGAAAAATTGAGGCACAGAAAGGTTAAGTAACTTGTTCAAGGTCACAGAATTAGGAAATAGTGCCGCAGGGGTCTGAGCCCAGCCAGGCTGGCTCGGAAGCCCGATGCTGACTTCCACCAGCCCTCCTGCCTCTTAAATGAGATGTTGGGTTGAATTCTTAGTATTTGCTCTGCTTATGAGGGTTATTGTCTGATGCAAAGATCACAGGCATTAGAGTCAGGTTTATCTGGGTTAAAATTCCTGTTCTTCTGTCTACTAGGTACGTAGCCTTGGGCAAATTACTGAACCTCTTTGAGCCTTGTTTTCTCATTGGTTCTTACTTCACTTATGCCTCTGAACCTGGTGAATAAAATTTATCGTTCCCATTTTGCAGATGAAATTAACAGAGTTGAAGGTATCTATGACTTGGTCCAAGGAAGAGAGCCAGGAATAAAAGTCACTTTTGTTTGATTCCTAAACCAATAAAGATGCACTTGAAGCTAGAGTATGTGAGGCAGGCCTTTAAGGGTGAATGGGATTTCAGTAGATAGGAGGGGCTAAAGGAAGTGCTTGGAGGAAAGGACAGGGGTGTTAGGTGACAGCAAGGTAGAACTGTGTCCCACCCTGATAATAAGGTTTCATTTTTGTTTCATATGGGAGCCTTAATTTTGTTAGGAATCATTGGTAACTCATAAAGTGGATTTCATGAGTAGTACCGTTCATTTCACACTTGAAGCATTATATCCCTGAAATAAATCCAAATAACAAACCAAAAATAAAAGTTGGGAATATAGCACACTGAATCTTATGTGCTCATCTAATTTGAAGTTGATTTTATAAGAATCCTGAAGCCAGTCTGTCACTTCAGTTTTAGAGGGCATCTTATTTAAAGAAAAAAATTATAGAAGCTATGTGCCTGTCTCTATTGTCTGATAAAACATTTCCTGAATGTATTTTTGAGTGGACATTAGTTAAAATTATTTCTGAGCAATTTCTGATTTGGATCACCATACCCATTACTGAATAAAAAGTAATGATACATTTTAAAATGAAGTATTTACTCATCCTGTGAAGTTCCGCCCCTGCCTGTTTTGTGCATTTTCTTTCTTTCTCCATTTTGTTGGCTTGTGAACTCATTTCTGCAAAGTGAGTCAGATGTAAGAACATCAGTTGTGTCTGTATTTCTGAATAAAGTATAAATAATGTACTCGCTCTCGCTGCTCCTTTCTTTTACACACACACACCCACGCCCACACCCACTCACCCACAGTCTTTTCTCCTGAGAGGCAGTAGAGCGTAACAGTTAAGAGCGTGACTTCAAGAGTCAGGTTGTTAGGGTTGGAATCCAGGCTCTATCACTCTACTAGTTTGGGACTTTGGGCAAGTTGTCTCTGTGGTGCAGTATCTTCCTCTGTAAAGTAATCCCAGCAATAGTACCTTAGCATTGCTTTGAGAATGACATGAACAAGTATCTGTAAAGCAATTAGAATTGTACTGAGTCATCCACGAGTGATATGTAAGCGATAGGTGTTATTATTGCTACCTCAGGGAACAGATGTAGGTTCTCTTAACCTGAGTTTGTGAATGGTGTTTGATGTTTAGTAGTCCTGATGAGGTAGATACTGTTATTAATTCCACTTTACAGGTGAGGCACACAGAACTCCAGAACATTGCTCCGAACTACCATGTCTGTTACCTACCACTGTTCTTATGGTAGGAGATAGCAGACTGTTTCTTTGGTAACTTTTTTTCCTGTCCTTCATGTCTAAGCAGTTAGAACTTGGTGATGATTCTTTACAGTGACCCTCAAATTTCTCCCTTTCACACTTATTTCCTTTGCAACTAATCTGGCTCAGAACTTTGGCTTTTCATACCTGCAGTTGTCTTTGAACTTGTTTTCCTGCTTCTAGTAGTCCCTCCTTACCATCTATTTTATGCCATTGCCCTTTCTGTCGTCTCTCTAAAGCATGCTGACATGGCCCTGTTGAGTAATCTGCTGTGGGCTTCTTGTTACTCTGTTAGGTCTAAATTCCTTGGCTTGGTTTTCAAGGCTCTTCATGTTCGAGTCCTACCCTACATCTCTTCCCATCATGCTACGTAGAACTTCAGCTTTCTTAACTGCTCTCATCACACAGGTCTACTCTGCTTGTTTTCTGATCTTATCTGTGTTAATACGTGAGGCACACACAGCTCCATCATGCTTCCTTTGTGAACTCTTTCTAGACAACGCCTACCTTCTCTTGCGTTTATCTATAGGACAAGTAGAGTCAATATTTCCTCTTTCTCTTATTTTTGAATAGTATGCAGTTTAACACTTTGCTGTATTACATTTCTTATCTGTTGATTGTTACATGTGAATTGCTTGTCCCTTTAGGGTTTAATTCTTAGTAAAGATAATAGATATGTTTTTATTGCTTCTCTGTAGAATTTGCTATTGAAATAAAATGTATTTTTCATGATTATAGGTGTTCCTATCTTCTTGGATTTTGTTTTATTCTGAATACAACAGAATCGTTTCCCTCATTAGCACTAGAAGGAGAACAGTTGTTACTTAGAAGTCAAGTGCTCACGGCCAGAGGAGTATGACAGGGGCAGCAGTGGGGAGGCCAGATGGTGAGCCCTGGAATTGGACCGCCTGCTGGGCTCACATCCTAGCTCTGCCAGTTGGCCTGGTTGTGTTGCCTCTCTGTGCCTCAGTCTCCTCAGTGGTAAAGTAAGGAAAATAATAGCACCTCTGTTGTAGAGTTGGTGAAAATTAAATGAGACCTTGGAGGTAAAGTTCTTAGTGCAGTGCCTGCTGTATAATGCTAGTTAGTATTACAGTTAATAATACTAATTGTCCTACAAGTTTATTTTTAAATTTTTATTTATTTTTATTTTTTTAAATTTTAATTCTAGTATATTTAACTTACGGTGTTATATTAGTTTCAGGTGTACAGTGTAGCGATTCAACAGTTCTATACGTTACTCAGTGCTCATTGTGATAAGAGTCCTCTTTAGTCCCCATCACCTATTTCACTCATTCCCCCCCACCTACCTCCCCTCTGGTAACCATCAGTTTGTTCTCTGTAGTTAAGAAAAAGTCTGTTTCTTGGTTTGTCTCTTTTTTTCTTTTGCTATTTGTTTTGTTTCTTAATTTCCACATATGAGAAATCATGTATTTGCCTTCCTCTGATTGACTTAGCATAGTACTCTCTAGCTCTATCCATGTTGTTGGAAATGGTAAGATTTCATTCTTTTTTATGGTTGAATAATACTTCATTGTGTACACACCCCCCCCCCCATCTTTATTTATTCCTCAGTGGATGGACTCTTGGGCTGTTTCCATAATTTAGATATTGGAAATAATGTTGCAGTAACCATAAGGGTGTATGTATCCCTTTGAGTTAGTGGTTTTTTGTTTTTTGTTTTGTAAATTCCCAGTAGTACAATTATTGGATCATAGGGTAGTTCTATTTTTAACTTTTTGAGGAACCTCCATACGCTCTTCCACAGTGGCTGCACCAGCTTGCGTTCCCACCAGCAGTGCATGAGGGTTCCCCTCATCCTTGCCAACACTTGTTTCTTGTGTTTTTTATTTTAGTCATCCTGACAGGTATGAGGTGATAATTGTAATTTTGATTTGCTTTTTTCTGGTGATGAGTGATGTTGAGCATCTTTTCACATGTCTCTTGGCTATCTGGATGTCTTTAGAGAAATGTCTGTTTATGTCTTTACAAGTTGGATCTCTCACAACTCTTGTGAGGGAAAGGCAGAAGTTAATTTCCTTAACATTAAGTTTTTTAAAAAAATGTACTTATTTGTAGTAGGAAAAGCTCCTCAGGTTTTGAGGTTGGACTTTGACCCGCTGTTGATTCCTTTTTTTTTTTTTTTTTTAAGGTTTACAGGTGCAGAGATTACACCTCTATTTTCACAAAGCTTGGCTACCAGAGCATTATGAATGTTAACGATCTCAAATTCAGGTTGTCCAAAGCTGGACAGGAACACCTGCTACAGTTCTGGAATGAGCTGGATGAAGCCCAACAGGTAGAACTTTATGCAGAGCTCCAGGCCATGAACTTTGAGGAGCTGAACTTCTTTTTCCAGAAGGCAATTGAAGATTTTAACCAGTCCTCTCAGCAAGAGAAGATGGATGCACGAATGGAGCCTGTCCCTCGAGAGGTGTTGGGCAGTGCTACCAGGGACCAGGATTGGCTGCAGGCCTGGGAAAGTGAAGGTACTGAGCATGGAATGTTCATTTTAAAGTTTGTAATGAGATATACCAGAGGTATTAAAGTAGTTGGATCATGTAATGATTTTTTGGATTCTCCTCCTACCTTAAACCAGGTAACTGATCAGAAAGTGACAGATTATGTTGCTAAAACTTCTACGTCGTCTCCCCTGTCAGTGCCTACATGCTCTTTTCATTTCTGTTCCCCATTCAGGGTTTTTCTCATTCAAGTCTTACTGTGCCTCTAGTCTCTTTCCTTGCTCATTTCCATGCTTCTAGTAGATTTCCCACCCTGAAGCACAAGTTAAATGTTTGAGTTTATGCTGGCTTCCTCAAAAAACCTTCCCTCACCTGTATTTCCGATCTGGTCTCTTCTATTTCCCTCTGCTCCTACTGTCCCATACATTTTGGCTGGACCAAATAATTCACCTTTCTCTGAACATTATGTCTTTCCTGCCATTGCTCATGCTTATCCTTGGCTTGGACTGGCCTTTGTCCCTTCTCTGTCTAGCTGGGTCACCTTGAAAGGCAGTCTCCCGGAGTTGTGCTATGCAGTGCAGTGGGGCATGTGGGGAACATACACTCATTTCTTAAGGTTTTTTGATCATGACCTTTTCTTCAGTGTCCCAAGTTGGAGTTATTTGTCCATGCTTGGCTTCCATTCTTTCTTAAACTAAGAGTTGTTTGTGTCTGTCTTCATCATGGAATTGTGGACTCCTGAAGAGCAGCCCATATCCTGCTTGTCTGTGGGTGTCACAGGGCATTTAGAACAGGGTTTTGCAGTTAGAAGTTGGTTGATCAATGTGTGTTGAATTGCCCCCATATTTTTTCTTCTAAAGTGTATCATAAAATCTGTCCCCATAACCAGTTCTAATTAGTGCCTTTGAGAATGGCAAAATAGCTCAAATGTATACCTTTTCTGGTGGAGTTCAGAGCTGTGGTTTTTATAACCCACTACTTCTCTGTAAGTAAGAGTGACTAAATATTGCAGGTCAGGCCCTTGAGTGTTTGTACATGGTCCTTGTCAGATCTGGACCTCATGGACGAACAGATCTGATTAATACTTTTCTTTCCTTTGTAAAAAATGGTACTTAATTGCAAAAATATAAAAATAACAGAAACACTACAGAAAAGTTGCCCTTAATTGAATCAGATGTTTTTATTTGCTCACATTTACACCTATTACTTGATTATATGTATATTTACTTTTATAGATGTGCAATAATGTTATAGATAAAATCTTACAGTCTATATTTGTACCACACTATTGCTATTTTTATTTTGTCTTTCATTCTTTGGCTTTCCCTGTCCCCACAAAAAGGACAGATAATTGCCATTATCAGCCTTCAGTATACATCTCCATGTCTTTCTCTGAGCATACAGACTTAATAATTTTCAAACTGTGTTCCAAGGAACCCTAGGGGTTCCACTGCTGGGGAGACTGTCTCATGTAAGGAGGGGAAATGGATACTAAACATCTTTGTCTCTAACTCCATCTTCCCACTACAAGAGCAGTGCTAGTTTGACATGTTTTATGTATTTGATCTTTATGTCAGGTTTTAGGGCTTGGAGATTAAAAAATATCGAAAATAATTGGATGATCTCTAGGAAGTGCCCTTTTAGATCTCAAGGGCTTGGGAGAGGCTAACCCAGCTTCTCAGAATAGGGCTCTGCCATTGAGCTGTCAGGGAGTAACTTCCAGATGGATCCTTCTGAGCAGAGAGCACTAACTTTGGATTCATGAATCCTCCCCTCCATCCCTGGGTTTCAAAAAGTCTACAACAGAGCGAAAGTCACACAGGGCTCTTTATACCCTCAGGTATCCCTGCTGCCTGTATTTCTCCTTGTGATTTTAGGCAGATGAAGTCTTCCAACAAACTCTTACGGAAAGCCAAATCTTTGACCTTGTATAACGGGGACCATGAACAACAGTCAAAACATCCTATAATTTGAGTCTTCATGATAACCTTTTTGTTGGAATCCGTGGAACTAGTCTACCTTTATGACTTTTCATTTAAACTGAAATCTGGAACTCTTTCAACCAAGTATACTACAAGAAAGTACGAAACAAACTTCCTTTGGCTTATTGTCAAGGGAGCAATATTTATTTGTGGCTTAAACAGTAGGGATGAAGAAGGAGACTTTGTAACTTTTTTTTTTTTCAGGATTTTATTTATTTATTTGACAGAGATACAGAGAGAGAGGGAACACAAGCAGGGGGCGTGGGAGAGGAGAAGCAGGCTTCCCGCTGAGCAGGGAGCCCGATGCGGGACTCGATCCCAGGACCCTGGGATCATGACCTGAGCCGAAGGCAGTTGCTTAACCATCTGAGCCACCCAGGCGCCCCATTTTAAACACTTTTTTAAAGACTTTTTGAAAACAATTTTAGGTTCACAGCAAACTTGAGAGGAAGATGCAGATTAAAAACATTTTTTTTTTTTTAAAGATTTTATTTATTTGACAGAGAGAGATACAGTGAGAGAGGGAATACAAGCAGGGGGAATGGGAGAGGGAGAAGCAGGCTTCCCGCAGAGCAGGGAGCCCGATGCGGGGCTCCATCCCAGGACCCTGGGATCATGACCTGAGCCGAAGGCAGATGCTTAATGACTGAGCCACCCAGGCGCCCTGACTTTGTAACTTTTCATTCACTTAGCCAGAAACTTCCATGTGTGTGCAAATTCATAACAAAATGAAGTTTTTGCAGTAACTTATCAAGGGGAAGGGATTGCCATTGTGAAGATTCTAATTGTTGTATTTCAGATAGGAGGAAGATCCTGGCAGTTGTATCAGACAGTGCCCCCCGCGTCCCCCTCCTCAAGATGGAGAGAATAAAAGCATTGTACAGTATTTTAGAATGTCTGGTGGCTGTTGACACTAAAATGGACATTTTCACATTTTCATGCCTAGGGTGGAAAATTATTTCTGAAGGATAAATACATAAGTGAGCACAGTGCTCCTTGTTGAAGAGAGATCTTGTTTTCTTTTTCTTTTTCTTTTTTTTTTTTTAAGATTTTATTTTTAAGTAATCTCTATACCCAAAGTGAGGCTCAAACTTACAACCCTGAGATCAAGAGTTGTATGCTCTACTGACTGAGCCAGCCAGGCTCCCCCCCCTTTTTTTTTTTAAATTTTGTTTTTTTTTTAAGTTTTTTTTTTAAATTTTTTTTTATTTGACAGAGAGATAGAGAGCACAAGTAGGCAGAGTGGCAGGGAGAGGGAGAAGCAGGCTCTCTGCTGAGCAGGGAGTTGGACGTGGGGCTCGATCCCAGGACCTCAGGATCATGACCTGAGCCGAAGGCAGCCGCTTAACCGACTGAGCCACCCAGGCGCCCCTAGCCAGGCTCCCCTTAGTGCATGCACCTGCAAGGAGGGTGGGGAGGAAGAGAGAAGGAGAGAGAGAATCTCAAGCAGACTCTGACCCCAACACGGAGCGTGTTGGCTGGGCTCCGTCCCACAACCCTGAGATCATGACCTGAGCCAAAATCAGGAGTCTGATGCTCAACCAACTGAGCCACCTAGGCATCCCTAATTTAATTCTTAATGTGTTCTGGCCAGTTGTAGAAAATGGAACATAGAGGAGCAACTGAAAATTTTCTATCTTACAAAGCTGAGATCTAGAGAGAGAAGTAATTAGAAGCTTCTATGAGAATATCATTTTAGTAAAGATACATTGGGAAAATGTATTTGCTTAATAAAAAAACCCCCATCTTTATCAAAGAAATGCATGCTTATACTGAGCATAAAACAGTCTTCCAATTTTATAGTAACATATTAATATCCAGTATTAGGTTCTTTTGTCTATGAGACATTTATAGAATCAGTCTGAATGGTGCTTCTCTACCATGTAACACTGTGGTAGAAAAGTAAGTGGATTGCTTAGAAAAAAATGTATTCATAACATTATCTCCTGTACATTTTGTGGAATCTAGTACAGTGATATTTTTAATAGATTTATTTTAAAAGTAACACATACTTATTTTAGAAAAATTGGAAAAATAACTAAAAACTACAAAGGAAAAAATAAAAATCTCTGCCAGCCCACGTTTCAGAGGTAAATACTCACTAGTAATATTTTCTAGTATTTTCTTAGATTCACACACTGGGATTATGGCTTGTGCATAATTTTGTAGCCTACTTAACAAATTTGTTACGAAAAATTTCAAGCATATTTTGAAACAAATATTTAGAGATAAAAACAGTATAATGAATCCCACATATGTATCACCTTGTTAAATATCAAAATTTTGCTACTTTTGCTTCACTTATCCCTCTTCTTTTGTTTTACTGTAGTACTTTAAGACAAATCTCAAACATGATGTTATTTTTACCCTTATTGAGTTCAATATTTATCTCTACATATATGGATATTTTCTTACTACTCACAATGCTATTATTATACCTCATGAAATTTACAATAATCCTCCAGTACCTAAAACTGGTTTAAGTAGTGATTTCCCTTATAGTATGCTTTTTGTACTTGACATTTTTGGGAAATAGTTAATCTGTAAATTAATAGTTTCACCTGTACAGTACGGTTAAAAGTTAAAGACTTAAAATGTCTTTTCTGACTAATTTTCTTGGCTAGTCTTCCTTTATCTCCACTAGTTTAATAGCTGGTTTACCTGACTCAGTGTCCTGCGAGTGCTGGCAGTTTACATGGAAAGTTCTGGCTGTGCTGGACTTCACACACACCTGTGTCATCCTCCTCATTTCAGGCACACACCCAGGTCAGTGTGAGAGGCACTAGTCCAAGCAGGAAGTTATCCAGGAAGTGTTTGACCTATTTCAGGCCACTGTAAACTCTTGTCTTTGTTTCTTGTAAATACGATCAGACGCTGTTGGGTGTATGACACGGGACTCTCCAAGGAGAGAGATGTGCTCCAGCCCTGGAAACTGCTCACTCTGGCTTGATTTATTTTAAACCTCTGCTTTGGTCTCTCTTCGGCCCGCTCTGTAGGAAAGCTATGAGCTGCCCTCCAGCGGAAGGATGGAAAGGGTGATAATAGTGCCGTACTTCCCTGGTTTGGTTTTTTTTTCCCCCTGTATTTCTGCAGAAGAAGTTTTGGGATAGGAGAAGCTCATAATTTCTTAATTGTCACGTAGGTTAAGTACATTTATAATTAGTTAACATTTTTCAGATAGGTGCGGTGCTGCCCATATAAAATTTGTTACAACAAATACAGTTTAAAATCAGGTATTCTTGCCATATAACTAAACAGTTTACCGAATTTTATTGGCCCCCTTAATTTCAAGCAATATTCTATCTGTCATTATAAGACATACTAATTTATGTGTTACACACTTTTTAAACATCCAGTTTTATTGCAGTGACACAGATGAGGTGGATGAGTGCTTCAGCCAGTGAACGCACAATCTGATATTGTTAACATCTGTAGCTGCATTGAATTCTTGAAATTCAGCTGGCCTTGATACTCTAGGGACTGCTTTCTTTCCTCATGTTTTTCTCTGTGTGTGCATAAGTGAGATGTGTAAGCAGGAAGAGGTCAATGCAGAAACCTTTTTATTGTAAATACACGTGGATTGTGATAGTTGTGATTAGAGGGAGATGAGGTGTAAATGTAGATCTGCCTGGAATTGGACACCTGGTAGGTGTAATCTCCATGCTTCTCGTAAGACGTAGTGATTGCATGGGTCATCTGGTCCATAGATGGGAAAAGGATTGAAGAAAGTATGGCAGATAGGGGCTTAGGAAACATTTATTTGCATACAGGATGAGGCCACCATGAGCTGCTGGTTAGAGAGCTGTAAAAACTGAAAAATTCAGAAAACTGGAATGAAGCTGTGGTTGAGGAACTGATCCAAGGAAGAGAAAAGTTTGTACAGTGGTATTGTGATAACTGGTTAGAACCTGTGGAAAGCACTGGTTGGTGCTGGGTGGCCATCAGGTGACCTGGAGCTGGGACACAGAGCTGGCCCTGGGAGCAGGCTTTTCCCTTTTCCGGGTAAGGTGGCTATGGGAAATCACTGACTTTTGGACTGAAGGTAAAAGAAGGATGTCAGAAAGGATGACTAGAGCCACATTAACAATGAAACAACTTGGGGCGCCTGGGTGGCTTGGTCGGTTAAGCATCTGCCTTTGGCTCAGGTCATGATCTCAGGGTCCTGGAATCGAGTCCCACTTTGGGCTCTCTGCTCAGCAGGAAGCCTTCATCTCCCTCTGCCTGCAGCTCCCCCTGCTTGTGCTCTCTCTTTCTCTCTCTCTCAAAAAGATCTTTAAAAAAAACCAACAACAATGAAAATCTTAAAACACATGTGCTCGATGAAGAAAATAAATAGTACAAAGAAAACAAAGGCCTCTGTGTCCAGAATATTTATCTGGGACTTTTTTTGAAGACGTTTAGAAATATTTGTGATTCTTACACCTCTGGTATGTGAGGGTTCAGACACCAGACTTATTTATCTGCAGTTTTGACGCAGTGCAAAGCCCGTTTTTCAGGAAAACTGACCTTGGACAGACACAAGACTGTTGGTGAACTTTATCCCACTTAATGGTATTACGGGTACTGTCTCAGATTTGCTGGAGATAATGTATAACGTATGTGTACTATATTCGTTTTCCAAATTTTGAAGAGTTCTGCCTTCTGAAACAACTCTGATCCGTGGGGTTAGGTAAGGGATTATGGACCTGTATTTTATTAAAGTAATGCTTTTTGGGTCGATGACAGCAGAATTAAACTCATTCCCTAGAGACCGTAGTTTCTGTGATAACTCAGGGAATAACCAAATGTAAAACAGTTTTCAAAACTGCCTTCTGTCGTTCCCTGCTCCCTTCACAATGCTTCATTTCGTCTCACCTTGTTACATGGTGGTTATGGTGCTTGCTGGAGGGGGATGCAGATCCGGAGTGCTGTTAGAAATTTCAGTGTTTGGCAAGTTTTGGAGAATGTGGACTGTACCCAGCTTTTCCTTGTAGGGTGGTAGGGAGGAGAGATTAAAAAAAAAAGGTAGCACAACCTCTCCGGAATTCAGTGGAAAAGAGAAGAAAGGGCAGGAAAGAAAAGGAAGGAAAGTTTATACTGCTGAAACCTCCGGTGCTGTAATGGATCTGGCCAGTGTTCGGGTGTGAAGAGAGGCAGGCAGCACAGTGCATGGCGCGGGGGCCTGGAGTGAGTTTCCCACCCTCGTTCCCATTCACTAGCGCTGGGACCTTGGGCAGGACCTGCAACGTCTCTGAGCCCATTATCTCTCAAATGGGAGAAATTATACCTACCTCTTAGAGTTACTAGTTTGGGGGTCTGTTTTCACACTCTGATAAGGCACGGTGAAATGCTATGGTGAAAATCACAGAGACAGTTCCGGTTCTAGGCAGGAAGAAAGAGAAAATTACGTCTCAGGGAGCTAGCTAAGCTTTGCTTCATATCAAAGGTGAAAATTATGGAAATATCTAATGTGCTTTTAAATTTTTTGATAGCTGGATGGTTGCTGGATCATGTCCTTGGGCTGCACTTACTGACTCCTGAAGATAGATTGTAGACTTAGGACTGGAGAAGGTTGTGAGTTTAAAGTGGGTTTAGAGTATTTCTTTAAGTGCTTGATGTACTAGTACATTAGCTTTAGGAGAGCCCAGCCCATCAAAACATAAGGCACAAAGTGGGTAAATTAGACAAACCCCCATTACCTCAGGATATAAAAAATAATAACAATGGATATTGGCCACCACTGCTCCCTCTGGGCTAGCGTTCAGTTCTGGACGGCGGCCAGGTTCCTTCCCAGAGTGTCTGAGGATTTCAGAAAACAAGAACAATCCTGTCAACCATTGCCTGATTCATCTGGCATTTTCCAGCTTTTCTGGCTTCCCAGAGACCCAATTTCTATGTTGCCTCTCCCCACAAGCTACTCTGCCTTGTGATGCTGAGCTGGTCCAGCGTTGCATGATGAGGTGGCTCTCAGAAACGGTCTATGGCAAAAATTGTTTGTGTTTTTTTTTTTTTAAATCCAAACTGAGAGCCTCTGTTGTTAATAATATTTACAGTTTCACTTGTTTGCATTTGGATCTTAACTCCATCTTGAATTATTTTGATTCAGAGAATAAATATTTTGATTCAAGCATTATGTTTGGTTATTATTACTGAGTATTCAACTGATGAAGATGGGCTTCCCGGCAACGGAAATAAATCATCAACAAAAAGACTCAGTTTCACATCCTTGTGAGCTGGGATGGATGGCCCTTTGGCAAAAAAACACCCCCCCCAAACCCCTGCATTTTAATTCATTCTGTTGACGTGTAATTACATATAAGAAAATGCACTAGTTTTATGACTTTTTGCCATATTTATACATTCATGTAACTACCACCCCAATAGAGCATTTCCATCACCCCACAAAGCCCCCTCATGCCCTGCCCTTTTGCGGGCAGATCCCCGAAGCCTTTTCAGCTGAGTTGGCTTTCACACCCACGTGTCCCGACATCAGAGCCTGGCTTCTCGACCTCTGTACTGCATTGCTTTCCTGAGGGTTTCACCTCTCTTCATTCACTGGATGGTAGCTTGTCTAGTCTGTTTGCATGCTCATTGACTGATTGTGTGTCACTGATGGATTTACAGGCCAGAGGTAATTTAGTAGCATATCATCATTTATCCTCAAGCCCAGGTGCCGCCTTTCATCCTGTCTTTCTCTTGATGTGCTGTATCTAGTAAAGTAGTCAGGTACTTGCAAAACGTTTGTAACATCTTGTTGGGCTTTGCCTTCTAACATTTTCAGAAAAAGAATTATTAATTCAGTAAAGCATATTATTCACGGCTTGGTGTTTGGTTGGGTTTATATAAATTTAATTTTTTAATAGTAAAAATGTTTTTATTAACAAGGTAGTTATCTGTGATTACATGTGGATTTCTTGTTCTTCATGCCTTATGCAGATGGGGTGACTCATTGCTGCTACTTTTTGTATGTGTAATCCTAAAATGTTGAATTGCAGAGGTTTTGTGATACAGGTATTCTCTTTTCTAGGACTTTTCCAGATTGCTCAGAACAAAGTGGCAGTTCTTCTTCTAGCTGGCGGGCAGGGGACGAGACTTGGTGTTGCATATCCCAAGGGAATGTATGATGTTGGTTTGCCATCTCATAAGACGCTTTTTCAGATTCAGGCAGAGCGTATCCTGAAGCTTCAACAGTTAGCTGAAAAATATCATGGCAACAAATGCATCATTCCATGGTAAGATATGCCTCATTGTGGGAGAGTGTCTAAACATATGTCAGTCTATAATATTCAAAATGCATGTACACTTTATTCATAAGCAGACGTATTTCCTGTTACTAATGATTTCCCCAGGAGCTGCATTTTACTATATATGTTAAAAGTAATCTGTATTATAGCTAGATAAATGATCATGATAGTCTTAATGCACAATATATATTCACCTCAGGCTTTTACATCCCTACCTGAGTACTTTTGGGGACTCATTGGGTTTTCTCAGTGTAGAAACTTTATATTGATTGGTAGTTTGTGTATACATTCCGATTGGAAGTCCGTTTCTGTCTGAAATTTGAAGGCATCGTTCTGTTGTTTCTAGCATTGTTGAGCGGTCCGTTGCTGTTCTGATTCCCGGTCTCTCTCTCCCTCTTTCCCTTTCTCTCTCTCCCTCCCTTCTCCCCCCCCACCCCCAAAAGCATCTAAGGTCTCTTCTTACCATTGGCATCTGAAATTTCATGACAAGGTGATAGGAGTCCATTTTTAGTCACTGCTCTCACTCAGGGAGTTCTCACAGTCTAGAAACTCATATCCTTAAGTACCAGGTTATATAGCTCTCCCCGTACCCCACCCTTCCCATACACACCAGCTGAAAGCCCCACTGATTTCTCTGCTGTGGGCCACACTCCAATCCCAGGCTCTAGTAGAGTGCTGTGTTCTTGGGGCCGGCCTACCTTGGCAAGTGTTGGTGTCCCGAGCACCAAGAGATTATGGGAAATTCTGCTTTGTGTTTTAAAAGTTTTTGATATAGCTCTTAAATCTCTTTCCCAGAGCAGCTTTGGAAATTATGGTTTGAGGGGGAAACCAGCTGTGTTTGAGATCCCTCAAGTCCCTAATCTTGTTATTTTAGCCCCACGTGACCCACAAAAGCTCTGCTGGTTTCTCTGTCCTTCTGCCTGGTCCAAGCCCAGAGTCCCTACCACTAACCTAGATCCCACATCAGCAGATACCCCCAGGAAAAGGCAGCTGTAAATCCTTAGCTCCTCTTTGAAAGATTCCCACTGTCTTGAATTTTAGTTCCAATCCATGTTGCTTCTATAGCTCTCTGATGCCTTTAAAAATAGGCTTTTTGTAAATTTCCCAGCTTCGCTAGTTCTTCTCAACATGGGTATTGGCGGGCAAGAAACTGGTTTTTTTCATCTTGATTCCTTTGGGGATGTTTGAGGGACATCTGTGTTCGAAGCAGCCAGTATTCTCCTTACAGTCCTGGCTCCCACTATCACGTTGAATTTTCTTCTCTTTTCCTCACAACTTAGAATCTCTGTGCTCTAGTTATGCAGAGCAGTCTAGCCACCTCTTTGTACTCAAAGTTCAAAATACCCGGGATAACTTGTTAAACAGATACCTAGTATGGTGGGAAATTATACCCTTTTCTTTCTTTATTCATTCAACATATATTGAATGCCTGCTTCTAGGTACTGGGGATATATCAGCAACCAAAATGGACAAAAATCCCTACTTATATGTGGCATAAATTCTAGTAAGGACAAAAACTACTGCAGTCACTAATTGTGCTTTTAAATAGAGTTTTTGACTCCTTTGCCACACTAGCATGGTTTGGATTTTTGTGAGAACAGATAATATAATTACACTTTTAAGATTTTAAATGGAGGGTGAGCAGAGCCCAGATTACATTTCAAAACTTGAGTAAAAAGAACCATAAGATATATATATGATATAATATATTCATTAGAATATATTCGTTTACCCTTTTCTCCCTATTTATTTATAATGGGAGTTTTAAATTTAGAATACAGTTTTCACAGAGTTCTAAAATGTTTGTTTAAGCCAGTTATAGGCTTTCTGTTGCAGGAGGTATGTTTAATGTTGTTACATAGATTTATTTTATATGTAGGACTGATGAAGTTACTGGAAGAAAGGCACTTGGATAGCAGCTAATGCTACCTTACCCAGGAAGAGCATGAAGGAAGTCAGAACAAAGAGGCAGTGTGCTCGATTTTTTTTTTGCTTAGAAAATAGACAAGATTGAATTTTGCCCTAATTCCCAGAGCACTGTTGCTTAGAAGATCTGCTTTTCTCTTGCAAGGTATATAATGACCAGTGGCAGAACAATGGAATCTACAAAGGAATTCTTCACAAAGCACAAGTACTTTGGTTTAAAAAAGGAGAATGTAATCTTTTTTCAGCAGGGAATGCTGCCTGCTATGAGTTTTGATGGGAAAATTATTTTGGAAGAGAAGAACAAGGTTTCTATGGCTCCAGGTTTGTAACCATGCTTATTTAAGGGTGACTAGAAATGGGAGTAACATAAATCATTACATTTTCATTTTTTTTCTAATATGGTGATTTGGATGTTAAAAAATTAATATTTAAGATTTTATTGCAGTTTGGCAAGGATTTAAAAAAAGGAAAATGCCCATGGGTGAAATGGATACACTTTTATATTTTTTGTGGGTGTCTGCCCTTGAGAACAACCTGAGCGGCACGCTGAGTATTCATTCTCTTTACCTGGTATTTTATATCAGCAGTGTTCATGGCTACATTACTTCTTGCAGTGAAAGATTGGAAACCATTTGCTACTTAATCAACAAGAGGTTAAATTATAGTTTATCTGTAGTATTCTCAAACTGTAATAAAACTGTAATTGATTGGAGATACTAAATGACGAAGAGAAGTAGTGTCAGTAGCTAAGTGAGCGAGTGGGAAGCGTGCCCGGTATGGTGAGGGCCACTGCCCTGTATGGTTGCGGGTGGTGCGTGCACACTGACCGCGTGCAGCCACCCTGCGTGTGATCCCAGGTGTAAAAATAAATGTGTCGACAGAGTCATATCTACGTGAGTATTTGGAGGAAAGGCTGACAGGAAATAAACAAGAGTGTTACAGTGGTAGCCTACAGATACAGGCTTTTATTTCATCTTAAGTCTTTTTTTCTACTTAATTCTTTTTCATTAGTGGAAGACTACTATTTTTAGCTCTATTTGTGAAGTCCAATTTTTTAAGCTGTGGCTGAGGGTGTTGGACAAAGTACATTAAAGCAGCACTAAAAACAGATGGGAAAAGAAGAGGCTTTTACCTATACTTATTTTAAATCTGATCTTCATATTAATCTGGTTTCCTGACAAGTTATTTGGTATAAAAAACTTGTGTATTTTTATTTTTGAGAAGGGTGACATTGTCAGTGTTGGGGCTATAAACACAGAGCTAACTTGAATAATAAAAATATTAATAAAACTTGAAATGTTATGAAATAATCATTGCTTGAGAAAGAACTTTATATTTCACAATGTATTACAGGCTAAATTGTTAAAAAGTCTGAGTTAAAAAGAAAAATATGGTCTTTGGGTTGCCTGGTGTCCTACATTAATAATGTTATTTTCTTGATACTTAGTTAAATTACTTTCAAAGTCACGTAGTATTATTTTTTGACACCTGAGTTCTTCCTTACGGGTATTTATTTTTCTTGGCCCTGTGATGTAGAACTGCTTTTCAGAGATCTTCGCCCCTTTGGAAACATTAACCCCGGTAAACCAGTTTTGATTACCTTCATAATGGGTTTGGTGTACTACTAATGGGCTTTTTATTTCCCAGATGGGAATGGTGGTCTTTATCGGGCTCTTGCAGCCCAGAATATTGTGGAGGACATGGAGCAGAGAGGCATTTGGAGCATTCATGTCTATTGTGTTGACAACATCCTGGTAAAAGTGGCAGACCCACGGTTCATTGGATTTTGCATTCAGAAAGGAGCGGACTGCGGTGCGAAGGTAATGCCTTTCTCAACTTAGTGAGGCCATCAGTGAGCTTGTTCTGTCAGCATATACATTTCAGGACACGAACTAGAATCATCAGGGTGATTTGAATATGTTAGAACCATTTTCTCTCTAAAGTACCCCCCGCCTACTCTTTCTCTTAAATTGGCAGCATTTGATTCTGGAAATACTGTTGTATGCTTGTCCCTTACAAGTAAGAGTTTAAAAATATGTGAGGATGGGGCGCCTGGGTGGCTCCGTTGGTTGAGTGTCTGATTCTTGATTTTGGCTCAGGTCATGAGATCAAGCCCCATGTCAGGCTCTGCGCTCAGCATGAAGCCTGACTGAGATTCTCTCTCTCCCTCTCCCATTGCCCCTTCCCCAATTTGCTTGTGCCTACACACACACGCGCTCTGTCTCTGTCTCTCTCTCACTCAAATAAGTAAAATCTTAAAAAAAAATATGTGTGGATGATTTGTAAGTACCTGGGAAAGTGGATGATTATCACTAGGCCTGGGATGGATTCATTAGTATCAAGTTGTATTTGGTGAGGTTAATCCACTTTCTTCCTATGACAGAGTTGCTGGAGTAGGAGGTAAGGGAAATATGGAGGGAACAGCAGATCGAGACTTCAGCAAGGCATTTGACAAGTCACCTCATGATAGTCTTACGATTAAGATGGAAATGTGCAGTCAGGGACAGTGAAGGAGATTGATAACTTTGACCACAAATGTACTGATAGGAAGATAGAGGGAGGTGATTCTTTTCAGCGTTTTTTTAGTTGCATAGATGATGATGTAGGAGACTTGCCTTTATGGTAGCTAATGAAATATATCTAGGAATAAAAGAGAACATGAAAACACTTTGGAAGATTTACTAATATAAATACTGCTTTTCTGGAAGTCTGTAAAACTATCCGTTCTCACCAAATTAAAGTATAACACAATTTTGATCAAAACCCCAATGAGACTGTTTTGGGGGACACTTAACAAAATGATTGTAAAGTTTAGAAAAAACATGTAAAGGTTGTCAGGACAATGCCGAGAAAAGGTGATAAGGAAGAGGGTTGGAGATAGTCTACCAGGTACTAAACTGGGTTGTAAATAAAAAATAATTCGGAGTGTAGTACAAAAACCAAGATAAATGACAGATGAATGGAACAGACTAGATCTGTCAGAAATAAGTCCATGTATATGTAAGAATGCACTATATAAAAACATGGCATTTCAAATCGGTGGGGGAAATGAATGAAATAACTGACTAAAAATAAAGTCTCTCCCTCAAAGCTCATAGAAAAATCAATTTCAAATGGATTACAAAGTTAAATATTAAAAAAAAACCATAAAGATTTTGAGAAAATTGAGAGTAATTTTACAATATTGACATGAAGGGAAGACCTTTCTGCCGGCAGCAAAAACCATACAGTACAGGTTTCTGACAAAAACAGATTAGATATAAATTTTAAATATTTGGATTTAAAAAGGAGAACTGCCATAAAAGACATACTATAGCCTTGGTTGGAAATTTTCTATTATAAAGATGTAATTTCTCTTAAAATTATCTGTAAATCTATGGCAAAGTCATAAAAGCTGGAGTTACCAATTTACCAGTGCAGGTTTTGCGAGATTAAGCTGGTGGACCTAATAAGACTCTTCTGGACTCTGAAAATAAAAAAGTTGGTTCGGTTATTTAAGACCTCTCTCTGTTCTAATACTCTATACTGTAAATAGCTATTAAATTGTAATAGAGGGGCGCCTGGGTGGCTCAGTTGGTTAAGCGACTGCCTTTGGCTCAGGTCATGATCCTGGAGTCCCGGGATCGAGTCCCGCATCGGGCTCCCTGCTCAGCGGGGAGTCTGCTTCTCCCTCTGACCCTCCCCCATCTCATGCTCTCTCTCTCTCTCTCTCTCTCTCTCTCATTCTCTCTCTCAAATAAATAAATAAAAATCTTAAAAAAAAAATTGTAATAGAAACAGTACATTGTTAAGTAGCTACTAAGCTTTAAAAAAAACAAACTAGCCTGTATTTCTGACTTTGCTCCGCTTGGTGTCACTCTTCATTCTAAATCAGAAACTTAAATTTTACTGCTCTGAGCTTCAAGTCCATTCAAATTCCATCTGGTCAACCCCTTCAGTCTCAGAAATGAGCACCCTGAGTGAGTTCTAAGTGAGTTCCAGGCTCAAGGTCCTTCATCACATTAACAGAAGCAGGATTAGAATTCATGTTTCCCAACTCCTAGCTTTAGGATATCACATTATAAAACCAAGCTCTTTAGATTGATTATGCTTTTGCTGACAGCTTAAAAACTTTAAATTAGTGTGCTAACTTTTGTGAGTTTACTGGTCACACGGGAGATACAGGTGTAACCAGTCACCCTTCACCACCTGTGGGTTTTCCAGGAGTCTTGGGCTTCCTGCTCAGCTCTGTATCTGGCATATAGGGTAGAAGTCACTCGATGAGCGACTACATAGTCAGATGGAACCGAAATATGGCAAGAATGGTACACGTTAAAGACTTTCAGAAATGTTAGAAACCATTTATGTAATCTGTCCTCCCACCCTTTTAATTTTAATTGCAAAATCAAGATATCAAAATTATTTTTAAGAACACCTAAATTAGGGAGAAATTCGTAGTGTGGTAGTAGAATAATTTGTCTTACTTCTTTCAAAGGCTCTGGTCTTTGTGAATTAAGGAATTAAGTATTTTCTATGGAGCAAGAACCTTGAGAAAAGGCGGAGAGTGCAGGGGTTTGCAGAGTACAAAGCTAAAAGGGTAGGAACCACTGTTAATTAAAGGTCACTTTGTAAAGCAGTTACAGTAACAGTGACATTAAAGTGTTACTTTGAACTCAGCTTTTCAGGATTGAAGTTGGAGAAAATCAAACAAACTTCTTAATTTTATACTGTATAACTTTCTGTGTAATATAAACTTGACTTCCAGCTTACGCAGTTTACAAATGCTTTCTTTTGTAATCCAGAGTTTTATGATATTTGGAGGCTCCTAGTTGTCATAGAAGTAAATCTTTCAGGGGCGCCTGGGTGGCTCAGTTGGTTAAGCATCTGAATCTTGATTTTGGCTCAGGTCATGATCTCAGGGTCGTGAGATGGAGCCCTGCATTGGGCTTTGTGCTGGGTGTGGAGCCTGCTTGGGATTCTCTCTCCCTCTGCGGGGAAGATAAGTAAAAAAAGAAGTAAATCTTTCACTGACAGATTAACACTTTGGCAGTGTAAAGTGTGAATATGCTTAGTTTGTTATCTATGGCTGGTCAGGAGTAGAGGCCTGTGGAAGTGACTGGAAAATAAACCGTGTGTGTGTGTGTGTGTGTGTGTGTGTGTGTGAGAATGAGAGGAATCTATTCCAAATTCCCTGTCTAGTGAGACCCCACTGTGGAATATGTGAAGTGAGGGGTGGTGAAGAGTTGATCGTTGCAAACAGGTCTGTGATTGATTTAAATCATTTTGTTGTGGGTTTCCCCCCGGTTTAATTCACTTCCTTGGGAGAAAGTTTCTCTTTATGAATGCTGCGCTCCTTTCAGGATGGCACACTGTGAAGCTACACGGCCTCCTTGCGCACCCAGGAGCCCTGGCTCACTGCGCTGGACGCAGGGCCTGTAGCTCTCGCTGCTGTGTAGCTGAAGTCGGCGGTAGTGGCTTTATTGTCTGGAGGAGGCTGCTGCCTGCTGTGTTTATTTTAAGAAATCCATTGTTGAAGGAAAGTTTTAGCTTTACTGATGTAATTTCTTAGGATAGACTTTTCAAATTGGGGACAGATTTTTCAGACTACTCTGAAGCATGCTGAATTGCTCACTGAACAGGGCAAACAAAGCAGGATCTTTAAATACTTGTTATCGTTTGATTGTTCAGTTGGATATTCATCTCATCTGAAACTTGATTTTATATTAGTGTATCACATAGAGTTCTTCAGTAATTTTCTTCTAAACAGTTTAGGCCGGTGCTGTGTTGGATAGGGTGGTGGGGTATCAGAGTCACTTGTGAGGGTTTTTTTAATTACATACTCTATATTTCCTTGTGATTTCTTTTTTAAAGATTTATTTATTTATTTATTTTAGAGGGGGGCGTGGAGACCATGAGCCGGGAAAAGGGGAGAGGGAGAGGCAGAGAATCTCAAGCAGACTCCACACTAAGTTTGGAGCCCGACGTGGGACTCGATCTCATAACCCATGAGGTCATGACCTGAGCCAAAATCAAGAGCCAGCCTCTTGACTGACTGAGCCACCCGGGCGCCCCTATTTTTCCCTGTGATTTTGATATACACCTTTCTCTCAGCTTCTCCACCAGCTTAGAGCCATTGTTAGATTATCAAATCACTGGTTTTCAGACTTTTTTTTAAAGCATAGAATCTCTTACTTCAAATAAAGTCTAGCATGCAAAACAGCTAAATATTGGGTGGGCTTTTCTGATTGAAATTGGAGCCAGATTGAAGTGACTTGCCTGGTCTAAGGCCCCTTACCTCCTGGCCATCTCCCGGAAAAACAAGGAAAATGATGTATTCATGAATGAAAACGAAAGAAACACCATTTTCTTTCTTTCATTTTTTTTTTTTTTAAGATTTTATTTATTTATTTGACAGAGAGAGAGCACAAGTAGGCAGAGCGGCAGGCAGAGGGAGGGGGGGAAGCAGGCTCCCCACTGAGCAGGGAGCCCAATGTGGGGCTCCATCCCAGGACCCTGAGATCATGACCCGAGCTGAAGGCAGATGCTTAACTGACAGAGCCAACCAGGCACCAGAAATACCATTTTCAAATGAAATAATGATTTGGACAGTACCAAATGAGAGGCAAAATGCCTTACCTTTGTCTTGTGAATCCCAGAGAAATTTCATTTCATTTATTCTCAAAGCAGTTGAGTGTAGTTAAGGATAAATTAATTAAAATAAAACATATTTGGGGGGAGGTAGACTCCTCATTTAATTATTCCCAGTCCAGTGTGATTTCCTCTGGGCTCTGTGTATATGATGACATTTCTTTTTTTTTTTTAAAGATTTTATTTATTTATTCATGAGAGACAGAGAGAGAGAGAGAAGCAGAGGGAGAGGCAGGCTCCCAAGGAGCAGGGAGCGTGATGCGGGACTCGATCCCAGGACCCCGGGATCATGACCTGAGCCGAAGGCAGACGCTTAACCAACTGAGCCACCCAGGCGCCCCTGTATGATGACATTTCTATTCCATAGTTTCATTAGGTGATAAATAGGAAGGAGGTAATTTACTTCATTTCCAGTTGGACAGTAGTCTGTCAAAGAATAGAAAGATGGACAGGTGGTTGTCCACAGTTAAAGGTTCCTTTGCCTTAAAGACAATATAAGCAAAACTGCAGATGTGGCCTTTGGAAATGGCCAGTGTAGCATTTGATTATATTTCTTCTCCTGCTGTCTTTCTTTGGGCAGGTGGTAGAAAAAACGAACCCTACGGAGCCAGTGGGAGTGGTTTGCCGCGTGGATGGAGTCTACCAGGTGGTGGAATACAGTGAGATTTCCCTGGCGACGGCTCAGAAACGAAGCTCGGATGGACGCCTGCTATTCAATGCAGGGAACATTGCCAACCATTTCTTCACCGTACCGTTTCTGAGAGATGTTGTCAAGTATGAGCAAGATGGGGGCTTTTAAAATTTTTCTTTTATCGTTGATCAGGAACTGAGTCACTAGAGAAGTAGAAAGACACCCCAGGCTAAATTCTACAGAATTCATCTTCTCCCTTGAGGATCGCCTTTATCAAATGGAAATTTATCTCACATTTTAGTTGTTTTTAGGAAGATGCATTATCGGGTGCAGATTTGTAGAAGTCCATTCTTCACTGCATTGCCTGCAGTCCAAAGCGCTTCTTCTTTTTCTTCTCTTCCTCTTTTCCCTCCAACTATGTTAGGTTCTGGTGAAGCAAAGAGTAAGAAATGAAACATGGTCTCTCTACCACAGTGGGAAACTTTAAAAAATGTAGATATCTGCTCTGCATCTACTGAATCAGAATTTCTGGTGGTAGATGCAGGTCATCTGTATTTTTGAAAAGCTGCCCACACAATTTTAATCAGTTCCCAAACTAGCATTTAGGAACTAGTGCATTAGAGGTTCAAGAAAAAAGAACTTGAGCCCTGGATGGAAATTAGCATGGTAGGATAAAAGAATAGAATAAGAGCTACTTTATTCTATCGGTTTGTTAAATGAAGGACAGTCTCACTATCTGCTTCTTCATTTGATAGCTTTTAGACATTCACGATGACAGTCTATTTTTAAAAAAGTTACTTAGCTTTGCTTTAGAATATTGACTCCAGTTCCAGAATATTTCCCATTCTACTCTGCGGTCTGTAACTGTGCCTTTAATTCATCCATAGTAATTTATTAATCCTCATCTTTCCATTCTACACTTCAAGGGCTCTCAGTTGGGAAAGTTGGGGCAATGAGCAGAACATTTTACGGAAGACAGGAAAATTATGGGAGAGACATTGGTGTGAGCTGTGTGGTGTATATTCTTTAATGTGGAGATCATTACTGGGGTTTTTAAAAATTCAAGGAGGTGAATAGGGAAATCTCTTCGTCTAATATTTAAATATGAACTGAAACTTAGCAGATGTGCTTCACTTTGAAATCTTAGTACTGGTGTCGATGCCTTTGTTCTTGGGTGTGATTATCAGATTTTCTGGCATTTTAATTTTGGAAAGTGATTATGTCTTTTTTTTCCTACTTAGTATTTATGAACCTCAGTTGCAGCACCATGTGGCTCAAAAGAAGATTCCATATGTGGATTCCCAGGGGCAATTAATTAAGCCAGACAAACCAAATGGAATAAAGATGGAAAAATTTGTCTTTGACATCTTCCAGTTTGCAAAGTATGTTTTGAGTAGCATGAGTAAGGTTAGATATGGGTCTTGAAATGTTGCTTTTTACTTTGTTAGGCAGGACTCTGTTTTTAGGAGATACTGGGTAGCATGTAGTCAGGTATGGTGTTCTGATTGTGAGTGTACTGTCTAGACTCTTTATCATTCTCTAGTATGCGACCACCAACCTGGGAGTATGGTGTGAGTTGCCTGTGAGTATGTTTCCTTCATGTTGGTTAGTCCGTTATCTGACTGACTGTCCTGCAAAACTGTGAAATTTTGTTAAAATTGTCACTTCTTTTGGCTAAGAGACTAAAAAGGTTGAGATAGAGAATTGGCCCACTTTGTGTGTAGGATGCCTTCCGGACCTGTGAGTAAATGTTTCAGGGAACATGGTTTTAAATTATATAGTTCTCCATCAAAGATCACATTTGCTGTTGAGGTATGTGTTTCAGTATGAAAATGCAGAAGACAAATTAGCTGTAAGATTAGTCTTCCCATATGCATTTCTAAATCATCCTTTTTTGCCTTTTTTTTCCCCCCAGAACAGATTCTAATGTAATTTGCATTAAGATTTCTGACCTTTCTGACTTGAGATGAAGTGTTTTATAGTTTGGGATGAAAATAATCTGTTATTTTGCACTGGAGAAGAGAATTCCAGCTTCCTTTAGTCCAGGGACGAGCTTTATTTCTTTTGGCAACCAGCTGAGAGAGAGCCTGTGAGATTGGGGACCAGAGGCTTAGCCCTGTAGAGAGGGTTGGAGTCGTGTTTGTAGTTTTACTTCATACTAGAGTGGTCTCTGTGTGGTTCCACTCTAGGAAGTTTGTGGTGTATGAAGTGCTGCGAGAAGATGAGTTTTCCCCGCTAAAGAATGCGGACAGTCAGAACGGGAAGGACAATCCTACTACTGCGAGGCATGCTTTGCTGTCCCTTCATCACTGCTGGGTCCTCAACGCAGGGGGCCACTTCATCGACGAAAATGGCTCTCGCCTCCCAGCTATTCCCCGGTAAGTCAGTGTCTCTTCTCCAGTGGGACAACGCTTCCTGGCCTTTTCTTCTTGGACCTGTCTCCCGTCTCTCTGATATATTCCCACATCTTTTTAAAAAAAGCAGAAGACTGATGTGGGCAGTTCCTGCTGTGAAATAATCTGGCCATCTGGCCCATTACAGAGAGAATGATTGCTTTACTTCCCCATAGAGAGGAATCCTCTGTTTTGGACACACGTCCACCTGAGCAGCATATGAGTCCCGCTGAGGGGTGCTCAGGAGGCCGTCCTGTTGGTGCGTCGTGGGTAAAGGCCGTCAGGTGCGCAGGCCCCGAGAGGGAGAGGACTGGGCGCGGTCGCTGGGCTCTGCGTGTGTGGCCCCCCGCACGCCTCCCCCCCCAGCCACACACCCGCTGCCCACAGGCCTCCTGGGGACGGGAGACAGGCCCTCGCTCTTCTTTCTGTGACGCTTTCACCGTCACAGAGGGGAGATGCCGGCAAGGGAAGGGGATGGCACTTACATTCCCAGGTACTCAGACTTCACACATGTTTTGGCATTTTTAAAACTTAAAAAAAGAAGGTCCTTCTAGCTCTTTAAATCTGAGATAAAGCACTTTCAAGCTCAGGCTGCTGTTTTGTGAGCACCGAGAATTACCCCCTTGTAAATCCTGTGGTATTTATGTACTTAGGTCAGAAACGTTCTGCCAGTCATTTCTGTGTTGAGGACGAAACGGCTGGCTGCATGCCCAGGGGCGCTTGCATGCCTCGGTGCACATTAGGGCCCTGGGCCTTGGAGCTCCCTGGCCATGCCTGTGTTTTCCCGGGAAGGAGCTGCGGTAAGCGGCCTCCGTCCAGAGCCACTCTCAGGCTCTGACTCGCCTGCAAGCCTGCTCCTTTGCACGTCACGTTGTCCTCACGCTTCATCGTTGGCCATTGAGTTCGTTTTGGCCCCTTCAGTTTTCCTTTGCCAAGTTTATAATTTACCATAAATACATGCCTTTCGGTCAAGTATATTTTGCAATTCCACTTCATTGTTATTGTTTGATTTGTTTTCCATTCCCATTAATGCTTATTTATTCCTACATAGCAGTGCTACAAATGGAAAGTCAGAGACCATCACAGCTGATGTCAATCTCAAGTAAATATCCCAGCCTGCCTGCAGTGCATGGTGTCGGGGCTGTGCTTCCCTCGGTACTAACTGGCATCGTAGTTTAGCGCTCTGCCTCTTGGTGGTCTGTGGGGGCGGGGTGGATGGCCGCAGCTTTGGTGGGGGCGGACTGTGCTTCCTTGGTGGCAGGTATCTCTCTGGATGCCACTAACTCAGAGTTTCGGTGCATGCTGGAAATGGGGAACATGCTTTACTAAAGAACCTGTGGATGTTTGAGCCTGTAGGGACAACTTGATGAGCGATAGGTAGGGTGTCGGGCAGGCTCCAGGCCAGGGAGAACAAATTCAGATTGCAGCAGAAGCTAGAGGAACCTCACCTTTGGAAGCTGTGTCTTGTCTTACTGGATTGGGTATATGTTCTCAGTAGGAAGGCTGACTGCCTCTAACATATCTGATGGCTCCTCATGTGGAGAAAATGATTCTCTTAATGTTTTCTCATCCTGACAGCTCCCTTCTCGGTGTTAATTTTAGTCTGTTACTATCTTGCTCCCAAGGAAGGAAGCTTTTTGTCTGAATGGCAGATAATTTTTAGCTGGAAGTAGCACATGTCCTGTCTCACCTGGGTACTGACAGAGTTTGAAAAAGCCATTATCCTTACAGCTAAAGAGACAGCTTGAGGTTCTTGCTACATTTGAGAAGTTACTAGTTTAGTTGGAATTTTAAGTTTTGAAGATAATTTGGGAAATGTGTACAAGGCAAAGGATCTGGAGATGTCTCAGAAGTAGAGTAGCAGGGATGTCATTTTCGTCCCTCTAATCTCCCCCCCTCCCCCCCGCCTATGCCACTCACTTTTGCCCCATGGAGACAAGTGCCTGTGGGTGGCAGTGTTTCCTGTGTGTGGCCCTGTCTTGTAGACAAGGAAGTGGACTCACAGATCCGGTAGTTTCTTAGAGGAGCCCTGGGTGACTGTGGGCCCTCGTGCCGTGAGAACCTGGACACAGACCACTTTGTTATTTTCTGTCCCATCCATCATTTTTAATACATGGAGGCAAGTTGCTTTTAGAATTTGAGAAATGGATTTTTGACCCCAAATTTCCTTCTCACTGAGCCATGCTTTTAACCTCAAAAGTGAAATGGTTTCTTAATTATACAAGTGAAATCAACAGCCAGCTGTCTCAGCAAAGATACAAAATGTTTTAAATGTTAGTTCTTGTTTGTGTTCTCTTATTTAGTACTTTCCCCCCCATTTACTTCGTTTTAGCCATTTGCAGAATAATTAAACTGAAATCAAAATTTGGCCCCAAATGAGATCGTGGACTTAAGAATTTAAGCAGGGACTATTTCTATCTCTAAAGGATGCCCACGAGAGTAGAAAAAGATTACTTAAAAGTGAGAGATGACAAGAAAGTACTTTGTATAAAAGGGGGAGGAAACAGCTGGGAGATAATTCTCAAAGAATGGAAGCAAGCTTGCTGAGTTTTGACCAAGTGACATTATTTTTATTTTTTATCTTAGCATTTATGGAACAGTTAGTTACTGAAAGTATGCTTGGCTAAAGAATTGAGGGATAATATGTTACTGGTTTAAGTTGCCTGTCTCCTGAGATTTTGCATTTGGTGATGGTAACTTCTGTCTTTTCTCCTTCTGGGCATCCAACCTTTTTTATTAAGAGTGACTTTCTTAGTTTCTTGCAGTATCTTTTTGGAGAAGTTATATTTTGGTTAGCCATGTGTTCCTTGGGTTCAAAACCACCTTCTGATCCTGGCACACCAAATCCCTCAGGGCTTCTGGTGGGACTGGGCTGTCTAGATCTTATCAGTGGAATGGGTCCTTATTTTTCCCATTTGGTTTAATATGAGTCCAAGCTGCCCCAAAGGGTCTGGACCAGATTTCTTGAGCTCTGTTGATAGAATCTAACACATACCTGGACAGAAGTGTGCCCCATCTTTAATTCGTCTTTTCTCCAAATTAGTCTGTCATCCGTCTACCCCCCATAGTTCATTCATTTAATTCAGCCAACAAACATTTGTAGGCCTGCTCACAGACCTACAGTACTGCTACTGTCTGGGTGCTGGAGTAGCTTACACAAGAGAAAGGAGTCATTTCTTACAGGCTACTGGGAGGTCAGGATGCATAAAAGTAACATCAGGCAGTATGTGTTTATGTGTTAAATATATGATACAAATAATAATTTACTATGATTTAGGAGGCAGTGACTTAGCAGATGTCTATTAAATTTTTTTTATAGAAGTAAATGAGAGTTATCACTATGAAATACAATGGTCAAAGAAAGGGGGGGCTGGCTAAATCTTGGAGGATGGCTATAATTTGGATAGTCCAGATTTTTATTTGACCATAGTTGAGAATGACTTGGAATAATCCAAAGTGTGGGCAGCTGGCCTGGTTTGAGTGGAAAGTAGTGGGACAAGTAAGTGGGAGTAGGATGTAGAGCACCCTGAATTCAAACAACATGGTTCTGTTCAGAGGAAGTTTGGGCATCGCTAAACTCAGAAGTCCTGTGATTTTGTTGAGTTCACCAAAGCTTCAGATACATATTTGGTAAAACAAAGGACAGCTATAAGTTGAGGCTATAAGAGACTAGTTTTTTGTTTGTTTTAAGAGAGAGGGCATGAGCAGGAGGGGAGGGGCAGAGGGAGAGGGAGAATCTTAAGTGGGACTCAAGCCCAGCCAGCATGGAGCCCAGTTCAGGGCTCGATCCCATGACCCCGAGATCATGACCTGAGCTGAAATCAAGAGTTGAATGCTCAACTGACTAAGCCACCCGGGCGCCCCAAGACTAGTTTTTGTGTGCTCTGTATCCTACTGGTGGAAAAACCTACAGATCTAATGCCTTTAAGCATATTAAAAACACTATTTATTGGGCGCCTGGGTGGCTCAGATGGTTGAGCGTCTGCCTTCGGCTCAGGTCATGATCTCAGGGTCCTGGGATCGAGTCCCGCATCGGGCTCCCTGCTCCTTGGGAGCCTGCTTCTCCCTGTGCCTTTCTCTCTCGCTCTGTCTCTCATGAATTAAAAAAAAAAAAAAAAAAAAAAAAAAACCACTATTTATTGACTTTTATATTAAAAACTTAGAAACTTTTAGAAACTCAGGATTGAGTGGCTATATGTGTTAGAATGTGATCTGGAGGAAGGGTCCTGGGATCGAGCCCCACATCTGGCTCCCTGCTCAGTGGGAAGCCTGCTTCTCCTTCTCCCACTCCCCCTGCTTGTGTTCCCTCTCTCCCTGTGTCTCTCCGTCAAATAAATGAATAACATCTAAAAAAAAAAGAACAGTACTGTCCAGTAGAACTTCCTGTAGGGAAGGAAATACTCTATAGCTCTGCTGTCCGAGTTGGCAGCTAGTGAGCACTTGAAATGTGGTTTTTATGACTGAGGAACTGAATTTTAAAATTTTAGTTCATTTAAAAAATTTTAATTAATTTAAGTTTAGGTAACCACATGTGGCTAGTGGCCAGTGTATTTTGGATAGTGCAGCTTTAGAACGTTTGTCCATAGTAGTATTTAAACTCTCAAGGTTGTGGCAAGGATTGAAAGGAAATAGGAAGGATTCAAAGTAGCTAACAGTGGGCCTGAACCATAGTTTATATTCCATAAATAGTCCCTTCCTTATCACATTAAAAGTTGGAAATGATAAAAAATGAGATGTACATTAGCAGATAAGTTTATCAGTATACATACTGGTGATTGCTGGCACTTGCCCCGGATAGTGTCTTCTGCACTTGATCTTAGCCAAAAGGCCGAGAAGCGATCCAAATAGTGTCTTCTGGACCATGACAAATTCATGTTTACTTGATGCTCAGGGAATTTGGTGACCATCAGGATAGAGTCTTTTCTGTTTGTCTAACTGGGAGAATTTGATTATCTGCAAGCTTCTCAGAGGAAAGTGATGGTCTGTACTTTCACTCTGGCAATAATGTGAGAAACAAAACCTTTAACATGTTTGCTTTTTTTTCTTAGCTTGAAGGACGCCAATGATGTACCAATTCAGTGTGAAATCTCTCCTCTTATCTCCTATGCTGGAGAAGTAAGTTCGATTTGTTTTTTCCCTGTTCTTTTAAAAGTAGAATCCAGAGACTGTTTCATATTTAAGTAGAATTGCCGATTTCCCAGTGCCCTGCCCTGCTGATCCTGGCAATGAACAAAGAAGTTGCATTTGTTCTGAATTTTTTTTTTTTTTTTTTTGAGAATTCTTGTTACAGCTTTGCATCTGTCCCACAAGTGGGTTAGTTGCCATGAACAGAATGTTTAATATTTTATCCATTTCATTGACATATCGAAATGCAGTGGTCTTTCAAAAAAAATCAGCCTTGTGTTTTAGATAAATCATCTAGTTCTTTTTTTTTTTTTTGATTGAAATATAGTTGACCCACAGTATTAATTTCAGGTGTGCAACATAGTGATTCCCCAAGTCTACACATTCTGTGCTCACAAGTGTAGCTACCATCTGTCACCACACAACGTGATTACGGGATCACTGACTATATATATTCTCTAGGCTGTGCCTTTCATCCCCGTGACTTATTCATCCCGGAACCAGAAGTCTCTGCCTACCACTTTCCTTCACCCATTTTGCCCATCCCCTTATCCCCTCCCCTCTGGCCACCATCAGATTGTTCTCTGTATTTATGGGTTGTCTGGCTTTTTAAAACGTAGTATAATTTTTCCTCTTAAAGGGTTATTTTGTTCATACACTTGGTACTCTCACTTTTAAGACTGGGAGATTTAGGCATTCCTACTCTTCTAATTAATATTTTTTCTGGAGATTCTTGTCAGATTGCTTAATTTCCGCATCAGAGACAGCCACACTGCTTAGAAAGTTAACTCTATTGGGTAATGGTGATAAGAAGAATGACTAACATCTTATTAACTTTAGAAATTATAATCAGAGTAATTTTCCTTTCTTTGTTGTTTATTTTATGCTTCTATAAATTGGTCATTAAGCTCAGTTTAAAAAGTATATGAAATAGGTTTTAAATTCTACATCTCATCCAACTTTTTGGCATCTATGCTTTAAATCTTTATTATAGTCACTAAGTCCAGTCTTGTATGACTAGTGCCCACTAATTTTCTAACTATGTTTCATTTTAACCCTTTTTTCAGGGAATAGAAAGTTATGTGGCAGATAAAGAATTCCATGCACCTTTAATCATTGATGAGAATGGAGTTCACGAATTGGTGAAGAATGGTATATGAACCAGAAACCAAGTTCACCACAGTAAGAATAGCTTTTATTTTTGATAGACCAACTGTGAACCTCAGGACCTCTCCTGGAATACTCACGTTTGAATATCCACAGGGTTTCACCTTGTTTGTTGAACTCTTACAACTACTCCATATTCCCTAAGATCCAGATGACCGAGCTTCAGAAAGCATTTTTATGATTTTCAACTCATTGAAGGTCTTATTTATATTTTTTAACTGTGTGATTTTTTTCCGAGCCAAGGAAAACATTGGCCATCCAGGAAATTTCCTACAGCTTGGTATAGTCAGGGTGTTCAACATCACTGTACTTGGAGCTGGAAACATTTGTTTTCGAAGTTGTACATAGTAATAATATGTCCTTGTAAGTGTTGAAAGGTTTCTATGGTACTAAAAGTTTGTTTTATTTTATCAAAAATTAAATTTTTTTAAGAAAATAATTGGACAGTAAAATAAACATTTCTTCTTGTCTCTGGAGTGTCATTTGTACCTTGAGGAAGTTATTCCACTAGGAAATATGAAACTTGGGAGAAACTTTGAGATAGTACAAGAAACCAAATTGGCACTCCAGGGAGATGGTGGCCCCACAGGTTTTGAAGGAATCCCTATCTTTGGATTGTATCCTCCTATCACTTTATAACAGTGGCTCTGAACCAGAGATGACATGCCCCCTGCAAGAGGCATTTGGCAATGTCGCAACCGAGATGGTGGGATGGTGGTTCTGACGTGTAACAAGAGAGGCCAGGGATGATCCTAGACGTCCTGCGGTGCAGAGGGCAGACTCCCGCAGCAAAGAATTATCTGGCTCACACTGTCAGTACTGTTGAGGTTGAGAAACCTTGTTTCATATCATTGGTTTATTCTCTTACCCAAATATGTGGTGGCACTTAGGAATTCAGAAGAACACAGTTCTGGCCTTTCCCCCGGCGAGTTAATCACTCCCACTTCAGGTTTTCTTTGTTCATCTAGAGGATGAAAAATCGGCGAGGTGGGGCGGGGGGGGTGGGGTGGGGAGGGTTCCTTAAAATATGTGCCATAGATCATTGCACATAGTAAGGGTTAAAAATGTAGTTTGCATGAAAATATTGAGCTTTATAAGTGCATTTTATATAGCATTTAAGTATTGACCAAAGCATAAAATTTAACTTCTGAATAAATGAAAAATTCTAAAGATTATGTCTAGAGAAGAAATTAGTCAATTTTATCTTTCACTGACCAGTTGTCACTAGATGGAATGTTATAGGTGGGTCTTTTCTCTCTGAAAGTATAGATTTTAAGGATCACTTTTTAGAAAGTATATGGTATTTGTATCTAAATTTATTTTTTGTCCTAAGGTGTAGGTAGTGTGTCTAGCATATTTTCTCTTTTTATTTCAATAACAGCCCAGTTTTGCTGTTGTTGTCCATTCCATTTCTCAAAAAGACTTGTGAGGTTTGGGTTCTCCATCAGAACAAGCTCCACATCGATCGTGAGGACAGAACCACAGGGTGGTAGCACCTGAACGGTACGCCTCATTTCCTTTTTTCTGGACCTTCATCTGCGGTTTTCCCTCTCCCCATCTTTAAATAAGCTTGCACCAAACCAGGAAGGGGATGGCGGGCGGCATGGGATGGGGGTCGTGGCTTTGCTGGAGAAGAGTGGCGGCCCAGGGACACTGGGTCCCATGAGGGTGGAGAGTCTGGTAGCCTCGGGGCTGTGAAATTACCAGGTGGTAGCATGATGCACCTTCAGGAATCCTTGTTGAATAATCGTTCTAATTTGGAAAATACAGAATTGGGTAAAATGGTTATAAAAATATGAATTAGAGTCATTTGGCAGCAGTGTGGTAGAATTTACATGAGAGTTAATCTCTTTGAGTCTGGTTGAAATCACCCTTGCAAATGTGTCAGGAACTTTACTGATAGTCACAAATGAACATATATTTGATTTTTGTTCCTCAGTTTCCCTCTTGCTGCTTGAAATTGATCCAGTTTTGACATCTATAAAGGAATTACTAGGGACATTTACAGGAAGATGAACAAAATTTTATTTTCCAATTTCTAGCCCTTCTCTCCCACAAAATTTGGGCTGTTATTGGCAACAGTGTGGGCTCATTGCTAACCCCAGCTTACTATCTGCAGTGTTTCCTCTTGATAATTCGTCATGGTACGGTCAGATCTCAGTTATCTAGGTAAAATGAGGCAAGGAAAAAGGCATAATCCAAGAGAGTGACTAAAACACAAGTCATTCTGTTGGCTTGGAAGTCTGTTTTCCTACTGGCCAAGACTGATGCTTTTGCACTTCATGGCCCTCTTGAGAACCCCAGTTTAGGGAAGGCATGTTGGGAAGTGATGGGGTGAGTCAGCCAATGAGGGCCGAGTGTAGATCACATGCCCAGCACTCTGGGCACACAGAGCCCTCTCCTTCCACAGCCTGCATTCTGGTTCAGGTGATAAAATGAACCCACTTAAACAAGGCAAAGATAATTTAGTACTAAAATGTAAGGAATCAACTTCAGTGGAAGTTAAACAAAGGTCATCACTATGAACTGGAGTTTGGTAAAGCAGAACTTCTCAACAAAGAACCCTGTCATTTTGAGAGTAGAGCTACTATGCCTTTCTCAAATTAGGGTCAGAGGTTTATGTTCTAACAGAAAAAGGTACCTTAATAATTCTAACATGTATTATGAAAAACCAGTGAGGTTTTTACTAATCAGAACCATGTTTTGCTCATAGTAAGCTCTCAAATAATTTAACTCTGATCTATTGGATTTAGTTGCCTTAAAATCAAATGTATATTGTGATTCAGATACGGATTATTAAAGGGAGTTTGGTTATTGTGGGGAGAAGGGGTTACTTAGCTGCATCAAAGTTGCCAGGTGATGCCCAAGTTGTAGGGTTAGTGAACAGACCTGTAACAGTGATTTTCTGAGTGTGTTCCCCTGACTGGGTACATCAGTGTCACCTGGAAACTTGTTAGAAACGCACATTTGCAGAATCCCTGCATTACACATTTGTAGGTGAGGCCTAGAAACTTGTGTTCACATGAACCCTCCAGGTGATTCTGATGTACACCAAAGTTTGGGAACCACTGCTCTAAGAAGGCCAACCAAAAGGTCAGGAGTGTTACAAAAAAGAGAACACACACTAGGGGAAAACAGAGAGGCCAGTGTTCGTGAAGCCCGGAGTAGGGTAAGCTGGAAACCAAATAGGTATGTCTTATGTGAGCTTTACTCTGAAATACCAAGGGAATGGTACTGATGGTAGTAAGAGTGAAGATGGTGCTAGCAAGACCTGACCAGGACTGTTGGAATTGCTAGGACAATGGTTTCTAAACACTTCGGATTCTCTGAATCACTTGGAGAGATTAAAACAAACAAACACTCTAGTTGTAGAGGTGGTGATTCTCAGTCTGGTGAGAGCCTGAGTAGCTAATTTTATAAAAAGCACTAGATGATTCCAGAGTGCAGCTAGGAGTGAGAATCACGACTTGATTTAGAAATCATCAGTCAAGGACGAGGGGAAAAGGAGTTTGGATGTGTTCTGGCTTTGAAAAATCAGAAAAGGGAGGCGAAGAGTGAAGAACATTTCACTTGAGAAGAACAGCACAAACAGGAAAGGCAGCTGGGGCCCAGGAACACGTATTCTGGGGATGATTCCATTTTGCAAAGACCTCGGACTGCGGAAAGAACCACCCTAATTGGGCTCTTTCTAAATTGTATCCCTTCCGATTCATAGCATTTCCTAAAGCTAGAGTGAGGGTGGTGTAGGGGAAAAGAGAAAGTGAGTGAATAATTTGGTTTAAAAATAGGAGTTTCAGGCTGAATGAGAAATAAAAAGGAAAATACTGTGGTAAGGTGATGGCATGACGGGTGGGTTTTTCCTCTGAATTTCATAAATCTTCGGATGATGCATTCTTTGGAATTTTATGATAAAAAGTTATATCTTTTGTAAAGGCTCAAAGTATAAATAAACCAAGGGTAGTCACATTAACCAGTTAGGTGCAGCTGCAAGAGGACTTGGGGGTAAAATTGGCTGTGGTGAGGTGGGGGGGAGGGGAATACAGGTGTACCTTCAGATAATGGAATGTGGACAGGGCACCATTGGAGTGGGAGGCAACTCGGTCTTATATGCTGTTATCTCTGACCTTGGCTCTTACTTGGAGTGTCCTCAGTTGTGACTTATGATAATGTCTTAATTTGGAGGGACGTACAAAGCAAATATACTGTGTGAATTCAAGGTAATGCGCTTTGAGAGAAAGCCTTTCTGCAGGAGGCTTAACAGGAGTTCTCTGGCGGAATATATGAATTCAGGATTACGTTACACGCTCTTAAAGATGAGAGGCCTAAGAGGCTTGCCAAAAGCTCAGTGAGTCAGTGGTGACACCAAATATGTTTACATAGACAGTGTTTTAAAAGTTCTGAACCAAGTTAGAAGGACAACGTAAGAACAGAAAGTCTGTTATTACAGTTTCATGACTCACTGTTTCCACATGCGCTCTCATTTCTATCTCAGTGATTCTACTTCTCAGGAAGTGTTCTTTCTCATTTTCTTCTAGTGGGCAAAGTTTTGTTTTGTTTTACACAATGATGTGTAGAACTCACAATGTACATATTTTACACAGCAAAATCTAGAGTAACATAGGTGATGTGTAGGAGATTGAACTGAGACTTGATAGGTTTCCTTTTAAAGTTTAAAATTTCTCCTAATTTATATACTTCCAAAGGGATTGAAATTTGACAGAGATTAAATCTCATGAACATAACATAGTGAGTATCAAGTAGAGATAACTATGGCCCATACCTTGGGGCCCTTAACCATGTGCCAGGCCCTGCTTGAAGCAGTTCGTCTACGTCATCTCATTTAATCCTTATTACTTTCCTTTGAGGTGTGAACTTTTATTGTCTAGTCCATAAACTAGTGAGAAGCCAAGCTGGAAATTGAACCCAAAGTCTGAATCCAGAGACCTATTCTTTTTCACTTTTTTACTTAAAAATTTAAAATATACACAGTAGTAGAGAATAGAATAATGGCCAATCCTGTTTCATTTAATTCTCACCTTCAATGCCCCCATGGAATTATTTTATAATCAATTCTGTGTGTTGGATGTAATACTGCAGTATACATCTAAGATAGAATCTTGTTTGTGCATATATATACACACAACTTAAAAACCTTAATAATTAATGCTTCTTTAACATCATCTGCCACGCACTGAATGTTTGTATCCCCCCCACCCTCCACCCCATTCATATGTTGAACACTAACCCTTAATGGGATATTAGGAGGTGGGGTATTTGGGAGGTCATGGAGGTGGAGTCCTCATAAATGGAATCAGTGTCCTTATAAAAGAGACCCCGGGGAGCTCCCTTATTGCTTCCACCATTTGAGGACACAACGAGATGATGACCATCCATCTGTGAACCAGGAAGTGGACACTCACCAGACACCACATCTGCCAGTGCCGTGATCTTGGACTTCCCAGCCTCCAGGACCGGGAGAAATAAAGTTCTGTTTAGAAGTCACTCAGTCTGTGGTGTTTTTGTTACAGGAGCCTGAATGGACTAAGACGTCATCAAATAAGATCCAGCAAGTGTTCAATTGTCCCTGAGTTGACATAAATTTCTTTTTAATATTGGTTCATTTGAATCAGGTTTTAAAGTCCACTTACTGTCTTGACTGTTATGTCTCTTAAATGTTTTTTAATTTGTGCAGGTCCTCCCCTTTTTTTTTTAATATATGTATTTATTTCTTTGGCAAAAACTGGTAATTCTTCCAGTGTTGTTTTGTAGATTTTGGATTTTATTTCCATGTTAACAGCTTCCTCTATCTTCCATATTTCATGAAAACTAGTTGTATCTGAGGCTTGATCAGTTTCAGGTTCATTTTTTTTCCCCCCTTAAAAACTTTATAGATGGTTCTGTGTATTTTCTATTGAATCTGACTGGAAGGCACGTAAGTGTCTTTGTGACATGAAGATTGATTGGTGTTTTGTTTTGTTTTTTAAGTTTTTATCCGAAAGAGAGAGCACGAGCAGGGGGAGCCTCGGGGGAGAAGCAGGCTCCCTGCTCAGCAGGGAGCCCGACAGAGGGCTTGATCCCAGGACCCTGAGATCATGACCCGAGCCGAAGGTAGATGCTTAACTGACTGAGCCACCCAGGCACTCTGATTGGCGTTCTTAATGTAGGCCTGATCCAGCCATCATAAAGTCCCCACCTACCTTTCATCTAATGTCTTAGCAACTACTAAGCCTGGTTCCAAGATCCATTATTTCATTAGGGGCTGAAAAATGAGATTTTCCTATCACTTCTTTTGTATTTATTAGCAAGAATTATTTATAAAGAAACACTTCCATCAATTGTTTGATTACCTAACATGGCAGAAGCAGGATAAATGCTTGAATGTTTCCTTTTACCAGTTTCCAGAATAAAGTGCTCTGCCCCAGCACTCTTCAAAGGTGGCCAGTGAAGTCCTGCCTAATCCTGAATATTATTATGAACTCAGTGATTTTTAAAAATATGTTTGATGTGTTTCCATCCATTACAGACATTATTAGTTTTGGCCAGTGAACCCCTCCGATTTGGCTCCTGTGTCCTGACATAACTCTAGTATTCCTTTGTAGCTTCTTTGCCTTCTGGTGTGGTAAGATGTCTCAGGATCAACTTGAACATTTCCAGACCTACCTTAGACAGATTTTTTTTGTTTTTGAATACCAGTTTAGATATTTTATAAAATATATTAACTCATTTGTTGTGACACATTTACTTTTTTGACTTTAGGGGAAATCCTTGCAATGAAAATTTAGATTTATAAATCCAAATTTGTGTAATTAAGTCTGCACTCTCGGACCACAGGGCTGAGACCACATTCTAGAAAGATCCAGCCCTCTTTTAGATGAGGGTATAAATAACGACTGTAGTCAGGGGATGTGCCAGGAGTCAGTTTCTAGGAACCATGACCCACACTCTTCTCTCCATGTTCCCAGAGTCCGTGACTCAACCTAGTGCAAGTTGAATGTGGATAATTCCTACAAACTTCAAATGAGACTGTAAGCCCGTTCCAGAGAGAGGTACTCAGTGGTGCCCAGCACTGGAAGGGAGTCCAACTTGCCAAAGGAAGCCATTTCTCCAAAAAACTTTGGTTCCTTATAATAGGGTATGGTATTTAGATGCTATAATCTGGGCACTAGGAATATTGCTAGAGGTTTTAGGCCTTTTTAGAGGACTGAGCCAGAAAATACATCTTGTTTGTTTTGAAAAGGAAAAATATATGAGTTTATACTGATTAATTCCAATTTTTAAAAATAACGTACTTCTTTGATTTTATGTTTATATCTCTTTTTAAGATGAAAATCTTGGTTCCTAACAAAGTATTTGTTTTTTAAGATTTTATGGAGGGGGAGGGGCAAAGGGAGAAGCAGACTCCCCGCTGAGCAGGGAGCCTGATGCGGGGCTCAATCCCAAGACGCTGAGATCATGACCTGAACCAAAAGCAGATGCTTAACCAACTGAGTCACCCATGAGCCCCTGTAATTATTTATTTTCAAAATATTACTGTGATGGTTAATTTTGTGTGTCAACTTGGTTGGGCCATGGTGCCCAGATACTTGGCCAAACATTATTCTGGATGTTTCTGTGGGGGTCTTTTGGGTAAGTTTAACATTTAAATTGTTGGGTTTTGAATAAAGCAGATTGGCCTTCACTAGGTAGGTGGGCCTTGTTCAATCAGTTGAAGACCTTAGTAAAACAAAGACTGACTTCTGGACAAGAAGGATTTCTGTTAGCAGATGGCCTTTGAACTTGAATTGCAACATTGGCTCTTCCCTGGGTCTCCAGCCTGCTGGACTAACCTGCAGATTTTGGACTTAACCAGTCTTCACAATTACAGGATTTGATTCCTTAAAATAAATTTCTATATACCCACATCCTTTTGGTTCTTTTTCTCTGGAGCTTAAGGGAAACTTGTTGGAACTTCCATTTCTAATGAAGACGGAATAAACAGAGACTAGATTTGCCCCTCCCATCTGAAACAACTGATAAACCAGATAAAATAAATGAAACAATGGTACTGAAGACATTGGACATCAGGCAATGAAGGTCTGTGATTCCTGGAAGACGGCACAAATGAAGTAAGCTCTATGGTTGTCCCAAGTTGCTGCCTGTAGAGAATCTTCAGGCCATACCACAGCATGGAGGAACCAGGAAATACCTGGCTATCTCCCTGAGTTGAGAGGATGGAGCTCAGGGAAGCCAAGGTGGCTAGAGTTCATAGGGTAGCATACTAGAGAAGAGAGAGGTGCGTGAAGAAAAGGCTAGAGGTCTGCAAAAGCAACCCTTTGAATATTCAGTTGAGTATGATCTGCATACACGTGTGTAAAGAAGCTATTTGTTTCCACATATAAGTGAAATCATGTAACATTTGTCTTTTTCTGTCTGAATTGTTGAATCACTAAATTGTGCACCTAAAAATGGGATATTGTATGTCAACTGTACTTAAATATAAAAATAAATGGTGAAGAACAAAACACTTGAGGCTGAGGAAAG